ATTATTTCTTCAAAGATACTTTCTATCCCTTTTTCTCTCTCTTCTTCTTCTGGTACCCCTTTAATGCATATATTGTTCTGTTTCCATTGATCACTCAGCTCTCTTAGGATTCTTTCATTCCTGGAGATCCTTTTATCTTTTATCTTCTCTGCGTTCCTGTTCTCTGTTTTCTAGTCCATTAATGGTCTCTTGCATCTCGTCCATTCTGTTTTGAAGTCCTTCCAGAGCTTGTTTTATTTCTGTATTCTCCTTCCCTAGTTCTTGCATATTTCTCTGCAAGTCCATCAGGATGGTTATGACTTTCATTTGAATTCTTTTTCAGGAAGACTGGTTAAATCTATCTCCCCAGGTTCCTGCTCAGGGGAAGATGTAGAAGGTGCCGAAGCTGTCTGGGTTAGTCTTGTCTGGATCATATTTTTTTGCCTTTTCATGTTGGTAGGTGCTATTGACTGTCAGCTGGGGGGGCCAAGCTTTCCACTTGCTACTGGCCTTTCTTTACTGGGACAACTGCGACCCCTGGTGGCGTGTGTTGGGTAATTGCGTGTAGACTGGGTCTCTGTGTCTTGCCGGGCCGGTATGGAGGAAGCTCCCTTGCTGAGGGCGTGATCCGCCTCAGGCTGCTGCTCTGGTTTCACCACGCCCCAGAGGGGTAATGGACGGGGGGCTGTTTGGCTGTTTACCTCCATGGGGGGGTCTCAGAGCTGTTGCCCAGGGGATTAGTGCGCCCGGTTTTCCCTGTAATTTCCAGCCACTGGGCTGTGACCTGTGTTGTTTCCGTCCAGCTGTGGCATCCCTGTCCCTTTAAGACTTTCAAAAAGCACTCGCTTTTCTTTGTCACAGGGGCGTCAGCCTTGGAACCCGCTCAGAGGTCTTGCTTCCCTGTTTCCCTAGTTTCCAGCCCTCCACGCACGCACTGTGTCTGCGCTCTGGTGCGGATGGCTGGGGCTGGGTGCTCAGCAGTCCTGGGCTCCCTCTCCCTCCCCGCTCTGACTCCTCTCCTCCCGCCCGGAGCTGGGGTGAGGGGTGCTTGGGTCCCGCCAGGCTGGGGCTTGTATCTTACCCCTTTCACCAGGCGCTGGGCTCTCGCACATGTGGATGTGGTCTGGCTGTTGTCTTGTGTCTTCTGGTCTCTCTTTTAGGATTAGTTGTATTTGTTGTATTTTCAAAAATATATGTGTTTTTGGGAGGAGATTCCCACTGTCTTACTCACACGGCCATGTTGGCTCCGCCTGACTAACACCCTTTTTAAACTCCTAAGTACAGGACAGCCAGAGCCCTGCTGCCCTGCCGACCCTTCCCCACCCTAGGCGGCAGGTCAGTCACCCCCACAGAAGGGACCCCGTCCCACAGCCTGTTTGGAGCTGCGAGCGCCCTGCCTGTCTCCGACCCCACACCCTCGCTCTCAGCCTCTCCCCAGGAAGTGTCTCCTGGCGGCCCCTGGGGCCTTGACTGGTTTTGAGTTCAGTCGTCTAAGGCTCTCTGGCCAGCAGGCCTCTCTGAGGTCAGGAAGGGGCCGGACAGTCACGCCAAGGGGAGCACGGCAAGGGAGCAAGACCAGAAGCGCTTTCTCTGAATGCTGTTCTCACCCCCACGTTTTCTCAGGAGTGGTCAGACAACCCGATGTTTGAAAGAAAGGACAGCAAGGAAGAGGCCCTGTTAGACCTGCATGGGAGGGTGATCGATCTCCACAGATGCTACGCCATGGTCAAGGCCGCCGGCCAGCGGATCCAAGCCATGGTCGCAGTAAGGACGCGCCAGGAGCCCCCCAGCGCCCACCCGCGTTGCCTAGGGAGGTGGAGGAGGGAGGGCTAGAAATCACAAAGCTATGACTTCAGTGGCCACAGAGTTCTCCCATCTTTAATCCAAGAGTCTAATTTTAAAATAGCAGGCCCTCCTAAATGTCTGCTTTGAAGCCAATTCCTCTTGTTCGTATGTCTGCCCCCCTCTGATCCAAGGGGATCAGACCCCCTGCCCTGCACGACACTGGTGTAGACAAGTGACGTCTTCCCACAAGGTCAACAAATCTTGTTTCCTGGAGATGAGCTGCCCGAGGGCAAGCACTGCTTCCCTTCCCGTCCCCGTCCCCGTCCCTGTCCCCAAGTGGGAGGAAGGAACGGCAGCACATAAGGAGTGAGGGACGTGGAATGTGTGTGTGAGGCATGTCCCTGCCGGCGCATTTTCTTTGGGCGATGTGATGCCACACCCCTGCCAACCCTGCTGAGCTGCCTACAGCGCAAGTCATTCCTTTTTGCCAATAGTCTCAACTGCCAGTGGGCCTGTGTCCCTGCAGGCGTGCTCAGAGGGAGCCTGCGAGACAGCAACCAGGCTACCCTGGAAGCTCCGCCTGCACTCCTGACAGCGCAGGGGGTACTGGGCCTTCCTCACCTGGCAGCCGCCTGTCCAGCTTGCATCTTAGCTTGCTTCTCAGACGGATATGAAAAGCAGAGCCCTACATCGACCTGAAAAAAAGGAAATTCTCCCTTGAGCTCAAGACGTTTTCAGGGCAGTTTTTTGGGGTTGCCCAGTGCGTGGCGCAGTCATTGGTAGGACTTACCTGATGGGTCAACACAGCCAGGCAGACCCGCAGGCCCCGCTGCCCTCATGGGCCAAGTCATTGCTCGGAAGGCCATTACTCCAGCGGAGAGACTGACTGGACCAGAAGATGTTCCATCTCATTTCTTGATCTTCTTCCTCCCCCCCCTGCTATGGTGCCAGGAAGTCCCACCAAATTAAAATGTTAAACTGCAAAAACATGACTTAGAAGAGCTAACTGGTTAACCTATTAACACTCTCGGAAGTGTTGGAAACAGCACAGGAGAGAGAAACTTGGCTTAGGGTCAGGACAAGTTTCACAGCACAGGAGCACAGCAAGAGGGCTGCAAGGAGGCATGGCGGCTGAGAACAGATACAGGGCAGCTGGGAACAGGGGCGGGGCAGCTGGGAACAGGGGCGGGGCAGCTGGGAACAGGGGCGGGGCTTGGGAGAGAGGCCAGTGAGTCACTGAGACAAGGCTTTGTTGTCCCAAGTATTTGCACACATGGAGGAGTCCTCTACTCCCGTGATACAGCGGAACCATTTCTTTTTACCTTACAACTTAATTATTTCAGCCTGTATCTTCTCACCCCTATTAGAGTAACTGCCTGAGGCTGCAAACCGGGTCACACTCATCTTTGTGTTTCCCTGTAGCATTTGGTATCTCAGAGATTCACTATCTATCCATCTACCCTTCCACCCATAAACCCATCACCCACCCACCCGCTCACCCTCCAGCTCCCGCTCTGTCCCAGGCACCCTGCTGAGTGCTGCAGGTACAACAGTAGAAAAGATGGTCAATCCCTGTCCTCATGAAGCTTGGCATCGAGGGGAGGTATAGACCAAAGACAAATAAATAAAGTGATTCCGAGTTGTCATCTGCACCATGATCGGTGCAGACAGGGGATTGCTGGAGAGATACAGGTGGGCGGCAGGGACAGGAACCAAACCTGAGACGAATGGAAGGCCTTTGTGAGGAGGTGACTTTTGAGCTGAAACTAAAAGACTGAAGAAGCCAGACGTGGGAGGGAGGATGGGAGCAAGCAGCCTGCGCAAAGCCTGCTGTGGGGAAGAGCCCCGACCGCTAGGGGACCGAGGGGACCGTGTGTCCGCAGTGCGTGAACGAGTATGGGGCAGGCCAGGGACTCACTGAATAAGCCGATTAAAGAAAGAGTGGATGGACAAACCAGTGAAATGTCAACCAACTGTGTGGTTCTGTTTGCAGGAAAACGCAGAACTGTTCAGAGCAGATACGACAAGCTTGTCCTGGAAGGATTATATCGACTACATTGACAAGATGGTCTTAGACGAATTTGACGACTTCATTCACAAATCTCTCAGCTACCTAATGGACAACATGGTTACAGATGTGAGTTTTGATTATGAGATCCGCATGTGTAGATGTGTATGCGTAGGTATATGCACATATTTGTATTATAAATGTAAGATAACGATGTTGGAATCTATAGTTTGCAGCTTCCTGGTGAAAGAATAAGCTGTCATGTTATAAATAAATGGAGTTATTAAAATCTGCCTAGGGTGACCAACTCATCCCGATTTTAAACTAGAAGCCCTGCATCTGGGTCCTCCTCAGTGTCAGGCACTGGGGACGTCTGGTCACCTTAAATCTGGCACTCCATGCATCGGCTGTGGAATACCTGAGCGGTCCTGCCCTGCTGCCGGGTGAGGGAAATCAGGCACCACTGCCCCCACTCATGCAGATTGGGGTGGGGGCGCCCTCCTGTCAGCAGGATCAGCCACTAGCCTATTCAGCCCTCTGCCGGGTACAGTGCGGGTGCAGACCAGGTCAGCAAAGAGGGTGTGCTTGTTCATTTCATTCGGGGAAGTTCTCCCATGTTTTCTCTCCAGGTGAGCCCTTCCCAACCCATGTCTTTTCCATTACAATGATTCCCAAATGATTTTGATAGCTGCTAGTAGGCAAGATCAAAGACGCCCAGCCCATCCAGCCCACCCACAGGAGAGGATGGTGAGAACCACAGCGAGACACCGTGGACAAGTCGAAGAGGGTGGACAGTTTGCGCTTGAGCCCAGCACACACGTCTGCTGGGGTGGTTGTCACCAATCACAGGCCCTAAATTCTGGTGGTGAAAGTAGTTACCACGCCCGGCCGTGAGGTTCACCGCTAGCCCACAGCGCTGCAGGGCCGGCAGTGAAGGTGACCAGTTTGCAGCCCCAGCCAAAGCCACGATGATTGCCTGATAACAAAGCGTCCTTCTCAGAAATCCCAGACGGCCCCTTATTTGCGAGTGGCCTAGAGGCAGGGGTAAACCCCTGAGTTAGGCTCTTTGGAAAAGGCCTAGTCCCCTGAGTCTGTGATGATGAACCTTTCCTACCACTTAGCAACTCACCTGGACCTGGTCAACACCCCACCATGGTCACAGAGAAAACCCACGGGTTCTCCAGCTGACCACCACAGGGCTGTGTCTGGGGGAGGATCAGTGGCCGTGGAGTGGATCTTGTGGTGCCTGTGGGCCTTGGCCCACACTTTGAGAACTGCTGGTGTGTTGGGCTAACTTCCATCCTGTCACCTTGCAAATGAGGACAGCCACTCCCACCTTGTGGCCTCACAGCGGGACTCCAGGATCAGACGGGGTCATGGTGTGCTCCTGCTTTGTAAATAGAAACCTCAGATGGCTGTCAAAGCTTGTCCCTTCTGGAGCATAGCAAAGGCCATCTGGCCTGGCTGTGACCCTGCATGGCTGTGGCCATGGCTGCTAGCGTTAGAAGTGAACCAGCCATCACTCTACATGCTTTATATGTTGTTGATTGATTTAGTCTCTGAGAGACAACCCAAAGAGATGGAGACAGTCAGTGTCCCTGTTCTATAAAATGGTTATCCCAGTTTCATTTATCTGGGGAAACTGGGAGGCGTCTTGCCCATGGCCATATAGCTGGTCAGCAGCAGCACAGGCTTTGCACTGGGGTGGGGGGGCCCTCTGCACTTCCCCTTGCTGCCCCAGCCTAGTGCACCTGCTCTGGGCCCCATGGGGCATTTGGTTTCATATCTCTTGCTCAAGGAGCCCCCAGAAGCATGCTCCCCAGAGCGGTCCCAGCCAGCAGGAGTCAGCCCTGAACCTTGGATGGGGAGTAGAATGACCATCTGGGCATTGAGAATGGTCCAGCCGAGGGCAAGGCATTGGCACTCCCCACCGTCCCTTTCAGGAGAGCGTCGCCCCTCTGTTTGAAGTACACATGGAGCTGGATGAAGACAGGCTGGTCTTCAACCCATCCCTGGAGGTGGGCGCAGACGGTGGCTTCCTGATGTCCATTGAGAGCCTGATCGAGGACATCTACGACGCAGCCAAGCTCATCCCACGACTGGCCAGGGGCCGAATGAACTACAAGGTCAGCCTGGGCTTCGTGCAGCCCACCCACTTTCCCTGCAGAGGCACCCATTTCTCCCTGGTTTGGAACTGCCTTCCTACCTCAGCAATGCCTGGTTATTTACATTTTTGATGATGATGGTTCTGAATGTGCAAGGAGACCAGAGGTTCCTATTCTATCAGTTCCCCTGGCACCACAAACCTGATTTCTCTCCCCACTCCCCAGATTCTGTCCTTCCTCCCAGAGTGGCTTCCACTCAGGGGGCCTTGTTTTCAATCCTGGGACACCTCCCATCCTTAACAAGACTCTGAGAGGTGCTCTTACCCCGCTGCCTGGCCTTTCATTCCCTTGCAGAATTTAAACCTGTCACTCTCTCAGCACTCAGCTAGCCATCTACTCTAAATGCACCCAACACGACTAAGCCAAAGTCAGCTCGGATTCTGGGAATTCAAAAGGCACAGGAAGTCTGGCTCCCCTGAGGTGTGTTCGTGTAACAGTAAAACAAAAATTGGAGAAGGCCTCAAAGTCCACCAAACGGGAGGCATTGAATAGATTCTGGCCCGTCCACACAAAGCCGTCTGGACAAGGCACAGAAATGAGCCAGGGATGGAAAGATGATGGTGACATGCTATTAAGTGTTTATCAAGTTGTAGAACAGTGTTTAGAATATGGTTTCATTCGTTGAAGTCTGTCCTCCCATGGATACACTCCAGACTGTTGAGTGCTTGCTTCTGGGAAACAGGAATGGGGGTAAGGACGGAGGGAGCCCAGGGACTCCCTGGGACTCCAGGGACTGTGTTGATTGACATTTTTTTATAAGGGACACATATTATTTTCAATAACAAATGTTTATAGAAGATGCCCTGTATTATTAGGGAGGAAGCATGTGTCTGTGTATCCACATATGCATGTGTGCATGTATGTGTACTTGTGTGTGTGCATGTGTGTAGTGAGGTGAGTGCACAAGAGGAAACACCTGGGAAGGTCAAGGACCGCTCCCCCGAGGAGCTGACGTGTGAGCTGAGTTTTAGAGGGTGGATGGGGATTTCCAGGCAATGGTGTCAGGCAAAGAAAATGGCTTGAGGATTTCTGGGCCACAAAGGGGTGATGTACTGGGTGCATGCGACAAGCTGTTGCAGAGCTCAGAATAGTGTTTGCACCCAGGGATCGGTCCGCTTATAGGTACGGGCATGGGACCCAATTCAGGCCAATGACAGCCAGACCCCTGCGTGTGCTCTAGGGTCTGGCAGGATGCACATCTGGTGGTCCTGCGCCCATCTTGGGGCTCTGATGAGGAGAACAGAGCAAAGCAGGATAAGGGTCCCGGGATCAATCATACCCCAAGCTGAGCACACCCCACCCAGGCCTGATTTATGCCCCTGGGATTTTAATTTACAGAGATGACTATACAAGGCATTACAAGTTTAATGCTGCTCGTAGTTCCCACAGAAACAGGAGGTGGGGAGGGCCAGGCAGGGCAGCAGCGGGAAGCAGGAGTGAGGCGGAAGCCCGGGCCAGAGACTTCATCAGGGCTCTGTGGGAGAAGAAGGGCAGACGGCCCAGAGTGGGCCGGTTTGCATGATGTCTGGAGGCTCTGGGCTGCAGGGGTCACCTCCAGCGCCTGGTGCCTGATCGCAGGTGATGAAGGCAGGAGGAATGTCGGCTTGGAGTGTGGGGACTAGATAAGGGAGGTGGTTGGGGTGTAGACGCAGGGTCAGTGGGTTTAGACATGAGAGGTGTGCTCGCTTCTGAGTCCTTAGTCCCTCTGGCCCTGGGAGGACAGTCTCTCCCCAACCAGCAAGACTTTTTAAGATATCCAAGCATCTTAAGATACAGGCAGTGAAAAGCATGATTAATAAACATCCCCCACCTTGCGATTCTCCAGTTACATGAGCCCATGAGTTGTCTTTTTCTGACACCAGTCTGGGTCAGGCTTTCTGCGCCTTGTCCAGCACAGGCCTCCCATGCTCCCTGCGCTGGTCATCCATCCTCAGTGGACTTCTGTCAGCTCCTGGAATATCTGCTCCCTCCCAGTGCAGGGCCTTTACACCTGGCTGCCCCTCTTGCCCTTCACCTACCTGCCCATCAGCTCTCTGACCCGTGGTTACTTCCTCAGAGAGCATTCCCCCGCCTCCTCCCCATTACACCTTAAAGCAAGGGTTCAAGTCGCAATGCCTCATTTCTGTGGTTCTTTGGATAATGACCCCATCCGTGCACTGTAACCAGGTGGGCCCTGTCTATACCCCAGTGCCCACGCCCTTGCTGAATAACTATTAAATAAAGCATCAATATCTGAGGCATCCTGGGATCTGCTGGACTGAAGTCACAGCTTATCTTCTCACAGGAGAACATTGCAAATGAGCAATTTCCCTATTTCTCATCTCGAGAGGTCAGCAATGCTTCCCCCAGTAGAGAGCTGTCCTGCAGGGAGGGGAGGTCCAATGTGAGTCGTGACTGCAGGCAAAGCGCCCGCCGGGGTGCTCCCCTCTGCCCCTGCAGGCCGACCTGGAGGACATGACCGACCTCACAGAGATGAGGGAGGAGCTGTGCAGCCGGGTCGTCAGCGCCATGAAGGAGGCCGAGGAGTACCAGGACTCCTTCGAGACGTACTCCTACCTCTGGACGGATGACCTGCAGGAATCCATGAGGAGCTTCCTGGTCTACGGGCGTGCAGTCACCCCAGAGGCCCTGGACAGCCGGGCCAAGGAGGCCCTCCCCAAGGCGCCGCCCACCCTCACCCAGTTCCAGCAGCAGGTGGGTGTGAGCCTTGGGCCCCAGCTTCCGTGCCTCTGGAATACCTCCAGGGAGGGTCACCGGGCTTGACTGAAAACTTGGGTGAATTGTTTTAAAATGTAGGTTTTATTATTTTTTCTGGTCTGGTGAGGCCAGTGGATCAGGAGACGACTGCCACTGAACAGAGAGTTTGTGATTCACGGTTCCAGGAGGGGTGGGGAGGTGGGTGTGCCACACCTGGAAGGGGCCACTCGGGGAAGCACTTGTGTCGGTCAGGAGGCAGAGGGTGCAGGAAGTCGGGACCAAGAGCCTGTATCGTGGTGTCTATGGGAAGGGGTGGGCCCGGCAGGCCAGTAGGCTTAGGACTGGCTCGTTTTCCCCATTCCAGTGGTCCCGGGCTGTCTGTGTTGGGCCAGCAGGGAATTAGCCCAGAGTGAAAGGCCCTGTGAGGCCTGATGGGGGTGCAGTCAAGGGGGGACATGGGCTCCAGGTCGGTGGCTAGCATGTGAATGAAGGTGGGGAGCTGTTCCTGTCTCTAGGAATGAGCCCTCCAGAGTTAGCGAGCACCAAGAATACAGGACAGGAACCCTTTTCTATTTGCTAGAGGGAAGCTGCTCAATTCATGATTGTGTGAATAAAAACACACAGATCTTTAAAAAAAGAAAAGAAAGAAAATAGAATGAAAAAGAACAGTTAATACCCAAAGCTCCACATATTTTCCTGCTATGTGTAAGAGAGCCGCTGTGCGGAAGTGACCACCCCAGGCAGAGTCATGGGGGGCAGATTGCGGCACACGGGGTGCGGACAGCTGGTGGAGCTCGAGTGCCCCAAGGATGCAAAGCCGTGCGAGCAGAGCTGAGCTCCGAGACCCCGTGGCGCCTGCACCTCACACGCTGCATGCACCTTGTGTCCTGTTCTTCAGAAGCCCGCTGGCCTTGTGACAATGTCCCTTTCTGATACATTATCCCAAGCTGGGGACAGACTGCCGGGCCACAAGGAGCCCTAGGGGTGCTGGGATGAGGAAACAACATGTGTTCAGGGCCTCCCGGAGCCCCTGCCCAGGGCCGGGCACCTGCAGCCCGACAGGTGAGCTCAGCCTGTGTCTCCAGATCGACTCCTACGAGAAGCTGTATGAAGAAGTGTCCAAGTGTGAGGACACCAAGGTGTTCAACGGCTGGCTGCAGTGTGACTGCCGCCCCTTCAAGCAGGCCCTCCTCAATACCATCAAGCGCTGGGGCCTCATGTTCAAGCGACACCTGAGCAGCCACGTCACCAGCAGGTAGGCACAGACCCTGCACCTGGCTCTGTCCTGACGTCCCCTAACCACGCCCTAGGACAGCCCAAGATACCAGGGGCGTCTGCAAGTGGCCTTCTGTGGAAGTGTGCCTTCTCCAGGGAAGGCATGGGGTAAAGTTCAGGCTTAGAGGCCAGCACCCCACCAAGGGTGGGTCCCAGCAGACAGGTGTCACCTGGCTACGAGTGAACCCAGTTCTTTCATTCAAGCCCTGTTTATTGAGTACTGATTGTGTGTGGGCACCAAATGCCAAGGAAACCTTTAGGAGCCTACAGCCTGGCTTGTAATGAATAGACCAGTAACTATGCAGTTACAGGTGGTGGTCAAAGTCCTGTGCATGGTGCCAGCAGAGAGTGTAGCCGGGCTGGGCTCCATCCAGGATGCCTGCAAAGGCCCCTCTGAGCTGTGGCCTTGCATGCAGATGTGCAGTCAGTTTGCATGTAGCTGGCGAGGTGTGGGGTGACGTACTGCAAAGACAGGTGACAGCCAGCAACAGGTATCCTGAGACGGGCAGGAGCTCTCCCTCGCTCCGCGGGGCTTCTAGCTAACCAGGGAGGCTGGCGCGCCACCTGCTCAAATGGGCCGAGCCCCTCCCTGTTACTGGGGCTCTCTTATTCCTTAGCCTTGCTGACCTGGAAGCCTTCATGAAGGTCACCAGGATGGGCTTAATGAAGACCCTCAAGGAGGGGGATTATGATGGCCTTGTGGAGGTGATGGGCCACCTGATGAAGGTCAAGGAGAGGCAGGTGGTGACCGACAACATGTTTGTGCCCCTGAAAGAAACCATTGAGCTGCTTAAGACCTACGGGGAGGAGATGCCGGAGGAAATACACGTGAAGCTGCAGGTAGACGGCAGCAGGCCGCGCTCTGCCCAGGGCCGGGAGCTGTGGGGTCACGGCCAGAGAAGCGGCTGCTGCAGCTGGGGACAAGGCCTGCAGGCGAGACCTCCGCCTCTGGGCGCAGGAGTCCCTGTGGAGTGGGGAGGTGGGGGAAGGCTCCTCGGGGAAGAGGGGACAGTGAGGTGGTGGGACCAGTAGTTCTTCCATCCGAGTGGGGTTTCATCAGATGAGAAATGCCTTCACATCCGTCCCATATCTCCTACGAATGAGGTCAGCCTTCGATGCAGGGACAAAAGACAGAGAATGCAATCAGTGGAGGGCCCATGGAGGTCAGAGGCCCGGCAGTGAGGCCAAGAGCGGGGCCAGCACCCAGAGGGGCCGCGGGTCAGCTGCTCTGGGACTGACCCGACCCAGAATGCCCCAGCTGGCTCCAGTCTCCCTATGGGACAGCCAGGCCGTAAGGCATGGCAGGGGGAGGACTTGAGGCTGCTGTGTTGGCTGGGGGGGTGGAAAAGATGGAGAAGATGTAGCCAGGCTGGAAAAGATGGAAACATGGCCACTGCCGGGCCACCGCCCTGGAGTTTCCGTCTGCCCCCAGAGCCAGCTGCGTCTCCTCCCTGCCCCCATCTCTGTTGCTGCCCTGTGTCCACTTACACAGGTTCTACTCCTCTGCCGGTGGGCACTGACCCAAGCCAGAGCCCAAGACCCCACAGCTGAGGAGTGACAAGGTCGTGGGGCAGATGGGCAAGCTCACAGCCACATGGTACCGGGGGTCTTGGCAACTCTGCGCTGCCCACGCCCTGCTTCAGAACCCACTGTGTTCTGACCATAAATGACACGGCTCACCCTGTCCTGCCACCCTGCCCCGGGCCCGCTGCAGACGCGGATCCAGAGCCTGCATGCCCAGTCTGCAGGGGACGGCACAGCTGGCGTGATAAACAGAGTTTGAGGCGTGCCGCTGCCCTTCAAAAACATTAGCGAATCCTGGGAGAATGTGAAACGTCTCTTCCATTTGTGGGCAAAGAATCTGTTGCCTGGGATTTTTTTTTTCTTTAAAATACCTTATGGTTATAAACCCAGTATTTGCCCAAGTGTGGAAAACGCAGAAAATAAGAAACTTTACCTGAGTGTTAAAGCCATTCTTGAAATGGTGAAATTATAGAATGGAGAACAAGTGAGTGGCTGCCCAGGGCCAGGTGTGTGGTGGGGAGGGCACAGATACAGAGAGAACATAGGCAGGTCCCCAGGGCGATGGGCAGCATGGTGTGTGCCTGCTGCCATGCTTACCAGCACCTGTACGTGCAATAACATTGCTGGGACTACGCGCACACACATGCACACGCAGCTGGGGTTAGAGCACAGGGGGAACCCGACAGGTACTGCCAGCTACTTGGCAGAAGCCCAGTGGGACCACAGCTTTCCACCACGGGACAGTGGGGCAAGGCACACAGCACTCCCTGTCCTATTTTTCTGACTCCTTGTGAGTGAGTCTACAATTATCTCACGATAGAAAGTTTTTAAGAGAACAGACAAAGACCAGGTTTCGGCCTTGGCCTGCCTAGGAGCTGCCTGAGCAATGGACAAATGTCAAGAAGCTGGCCATTCAGGTGAAACAGAACGTAGCACCCCTCCAGGCCAACGAGGTCAGCATCCTCAGGCGGAAGTGCCAGCAGTTCGAGGTACTCGGGGCCCAGTTCCCCGGGGGGACAGGGCTGCACTGGGCCCGGGGGGTGCGGGAGCTCAACCCCTGTGCCTTGGTTTCCACAGCTCAAGCAGCACGAGTTCAGAGAGAAGTTCAGGCGAGAGGCCCCGTTCACCTTCAGTGACCCTGACCCCTACAAGTCACTCAGTAAGGTACTTCTGCTCAAGGATGAGGTGGGGGAGGAACTCTGGGGACCCAGCGCTTTCTGTCTGTTCTCAAGCTGTTGTTTTGGGGAGTCCAGAAACAGAGTCTCAACAGGACTGGCCTTGAGGCCTCATGTATGTGTGCGCGTGTGGGATTGGGGGACACCTACACACAAACCTGCATGTCCCCATGCTGTCTTCCCTCTGTGGGTGCTGGGTGGAGCTTCCCACCAGGCCTCTGGTTCACACCCACTGCAACATCCTGCAAGCCTCACAAACACCCTCCACCCAGCCCCACCCCACGCCAGGGCCCCAAGGTTCACAGGCAGCACTCACCTGCCACCACGCGTAGCCGGTGGCCAAGCCTCACCCATGTCCCCTCTCTGTGCCCACCAAGTCCATGGTTGGCACCCAGTGTACAAGTTCCACAGCCCTGGACCTGGCAACCCGCTCAGCTCGGGTCCCACAGATTCTCAAAGGGCAGGAGTGTGTGGGGTGCACGGCTGGCAGGGAGCCCCAAGAGCACAGCGGGGGCACCATCAGCGCCTCTGTGCGCCTGGCAGTGTGCTCAGCACCTGTGTGACCAGGCCCAGCCCATACCTCCGCCTCCCTCCTCAGTACCAGGCACGAGCACAGTGGACCCCACGGCACCCTTCAGGGCCCCCCCACACTTCCCCCCGCCACCCCCGAGCCTCTGCTCTTTTGTTCACCCAGCCTGGAAGCGCACCATTCCCACAGGTCAAGGTCTACCTGTCAGTAGATACACTGAGCCCCAGAGCACTTAGCCCCCCGGGCCCGGACTGCATCCTTCGGAGGTCGGGTGGCAGTTCCGCCCCAGGGCTGGATCCGGGTCCGAAGGCCTGTGCTGAGGCAGGGTGCACGCTGGGGCACACACCCCCGCCCTGCACACATGCGCACACGCTCAGCACCAGAGCAGCCCCTTAGTCAGGAGTTGGGCGTGAATCTTTATTCCTCTTCTTTGCTTATCTAGATTTTTCTAATTTTCAAAGCAGTCAAGCACTGCTTATATAATTTTTCATAAGATTAAAAGTATGTAGCATGAAAGTTGGAACTCTCAGGTGGAAACTGGGCATTCATGTCATTAAAATGAACCTGGAAAGTCTGTGTGCCTGAACCTGAAAAGATAAACCATCTTCCTGTGAGATCAGAAGCAAGGGGGCATGTGGAGGCAGGAAGGGCAGGGAGCTGCTCTCCTGCCTGGGGAGTCTGCCGGGCACCTTAGGTACCAGGGGCTGGACTGCCGCATGGCGAGGGCCCTGAGAAGGGTTCTAAGGACAGGTTGGCAGGGGAAGAGCGGGTACCCTGAGTGGGGGTGCCCCTGTTTACCACCGTCCCTACCTGCCCCCAGCAACAAAAGAGCATCGTGGCCATGGAGAGCGTCATGGAGGCTCTGGGCAAGTCTGGAAGCCTGTTCGAAGTCACAGTCCCAGAGTACAAGCAGCTCAAAGTTTGTCACAAAGAGGTCTGCCTGCTGAAGGAGCTCTGGGACATGATCGTCATGGTGAGGGGGTCAGCAAGCTGCAGGTGGGGTGGGCCACCACGGATGGCACTGAGTGTGGATGCCCCATTATCCTGTGGCTGTTAAAATGCAACAACCCCATTCAGAAGTTGGAAGCCCTGCTCCTCTTGGAAAGAAGAGCAAATGGGGGGAGCCAGGGCCCCTGATGCTAAGGCTCTGTAGACGGCACGTGCACGTGTCAGCTGTGGCCGGGTGGTCCTCCTCCATCTACTGTCAAAGACGTTTTAGCTCTTCTCTCTTGGTCTCTTGAATGAACTTCAGAATCCTTGTCAAATTCTCCTCCTCTCCAAAAGAAAACGATGTGACTTTAAATGGAATCGCATCTTCCCTGGTTGCATCTCCCCCTCGGCAGTGCGCCGTGTCCCCCTACAGGAGCGGCTTTCCTGTATGTCTTCATTTTATTTCACTTTTTAGCATTGTAAAATATTGTAGATGTCTTTATTGTGACCATAGTGAGTCTACATGCTTCTTACATGGGGGGAAATCTTTGTGCTCACAGGTCAAATTCCAAACACCCCTAAAGAGAGAACAAGTTGAAGTCTCTTGATAACTTACCACCATGAACTTGAACCTGCATCTCTTGTGTACGAATGCCACTGCAGAGCAGAGTGGGTAAAGTCACAGGGAACAGGACACTGCCCTTTCTCTCGATAAACAGCAGTTTGCACAGACTAGACGTCACATTTCCCAGGAGATAACGATAAGCATTTACAGTCAGGACACTCCAAGAAAACTTCTCCAAAACAAATAGAACCACGGCATTTTTATGATAACAGGATACAGAATAGGCTTAAACCTACCAGAAAGAGCCATGGATTCCTATAGGATTAGGGTTTGGCGTCTAAGTATCTTTACGGAGAATCTTTTGTAAACACCCTGTACTCTCTGCCTTTATCCAACACGGATGCTTGTCCAGCCCAGGCCTGTCGGCCATAAGCACCTGTGTCAACACTCTCTGATTCCAAGGACTAGCATTTCCAGGGTCACAGCCCTCTTTCAGCCTTCACCAAGCGCATGGCTGCAAGCATCATCGTCTTCTGTCTCTTCTCTTGGTAGGGTTATTCCCAGGTAGATTCTGTGTCTTGTTTCATACTGTTGTAAACGAAAGTTCTTCTATCACATTTGTATCAGTTGGTATAAGCTAGCTAATGCGCAGTAACAAACAGCCCTTAAAAAAAAACCTTGTTAAGAACAAGTGTATTTCTCACTCACGCAAAGTCCACACTCTAGCTCCTGGCAACCATTGGGCAGTTCAGCATGCCAGGCTGTGTATCAGTACTGCTTCCATGGTTGCCAAGGCAGGTGAGGAGAAGTCTGAGTCGAGCATTGGCAATTAAATGCTTCTACCCTGAAGTGTCAGGTGTCACTCATCTTTCACTGGTCAAGGGAAATTATGTGGCTGCATCAAGAGGTAGGAGGGACCTGGGTCCTGGCGAGCAGTCACAAAGCCCATCACAGGATTTTGCCAAAGCGTGTTTTAACTTCTGCCTTTTAAGTTGTATATTTATAAGTGGTTGCTTTCCCCGTGTATCCGCCCCCTTTACCAAACTTTGTTATCAGCTCTAAACACTGGGTTTTGCCCCGCCCCCAACAGCAACGGCAGTAAAGTAACACAGATGCCCTCCTGCGTCTCCCTGACAAAGGTCTCCCCCGCAGGTTAACACTAGCATGGATGACTGGAAGACCACCAGGTGGAAAGACATTAATGTTGAGCAGATGGACATAGACTGCAAAAAGTTTGCCAAAGACATTAGGTCTTTGGACAAGGAGATGAAAACCTGGAACGCCTTCACGGGGCTGGACAACACCGTGAAGAACATGATCACGTCCCTCCGTGCCGTGAGTGAGCTGCAGAACCCCGCCATCCGGGACCGCCACTGGCAACAGCTCATGCAGGCCACCCAGGTACCACAAGCCATGGGAGTGGAGGGCATTGCCCCCAGCAAACAGCCAGGCTTCTGCTGTTCAGCCAAGGTGCTCAGAACCTGATGCTCTAAAGCCAGGTGTGGGCAGGGCTGGCTTCATGCACACGTGACCTGGGCAGTCACACAGGGCCCATGCTCAGAGGGGCCCCACAGTGGGTTGGACGCTCTGCTGTCACCATCTTGAAATTCTTAATCATGTTTTTAACAAAGGGCCCCGTCGTTTTGGACCAGGCCCCACAAATTACGTAGCCGGTTCTGGTTGTAGGTTGTAGTGTCCAGAGAGTCCAGGAAGCTTCCCTCAGATCAACAGCTCCTCCAGAGATGCCATGCACCCCAGAGCACAGAGTCCTAGTGCCTGAATTTTCCCAGGGATATCCCCAAGTGGGGGTACTGGCCTTGACACCAACAGAAGGCAAATAGGAACACTCCCCACAGCTAAACAAAATTTACTGAGGCCCCACATAGGTGCCAAGGATACAAAGAGAGAGAGAAAATATGGCCTCTGCTCTCAGGCAAAGAAAGAAAGAAAAAACAGCATATGCAATCGCGTTTGGCATGCCAGGTGGGATAGTCAGCAACGATTCTATGAGTTCAGAGGAGACAGTCAACTCCAAGAGGCCGGAGAGCAGAAAAAGCTTCAGGGGCCTGTGGAAGTGGCCTGCGCTTGGGAGAGAGAAACAGGAAGACAGGCAGGGGGGTCTTGAGTTCTTGATCCTGAAACCAGGAGCCAGGAGTCCTGGAAGAGACCCCTTGGACCTTGATCAACAAACAAGGAAATGTCCCGGGAATTTGGCACAGCCAAGGGCTTGGTGAGACCCAGACAGGTATTTTCCCAAACATGACTGAGAGACACTTTATTGCACCAATTGGTTAAAGCATTCCATGGGGGGATAGGGGGTGCTCAGAACCAGTTCGGATGCTTGTTTCTGAGAGTTAGACGGATGTGAGGCCTGGGTGGCTCCATGCAGACCCCCGAGATTGTCCCCAGAGCAGTGGTTCCAGGGACCCAGCCACACCCGTGCTTACACAGCAGCACCCTGGGGCGGTGCATCAGCTCCTGTGGCTGCCGTAAAAAGTACCACCGACCACGGGGCTTAAAACCGCGGAACTGTGTTCTATCATGGCTCTGTGGCCAGAAGTCTGAGATCAAGGTGTCAGCGGGACCCCCGAAAGGCTCTGGGGAAGGAGCCCTCCCGCCTCTTCCAGCTTCTGGGGACCCCAGGCGCTCCTTGGCTTGTGGCCATCACTCCAGTCCCTGCCTCTGTGATAACATCTCAGATCTCCTTCTCCTTTCTCTTATAAGGACACCTGTTATTGGGCTTAGGGCCACACAGGTAATTCAGGATGATTCCATCTCAAGATCCTTAACTTCTGCAAGGACCCTATTTTCAAATAGGTCGTAGGCTGAGGTCCAGGTGGCCATGAATTTGGGGGGGATGGTACTCAACTCACTACAGATGGGTTCTGGCTATTATGCAGCCTTACAGGGAGGAAAGGCCAGGCTGGGAGAGGTACCTTGCCCATCAGGGAGCCAGTAAATGGCAACACAGAGCTTCCAGCTGCTCCCCCACAGCCCGAGGTCGCCCACTAACGGCCTCTCCATGAGGGATAAAGATGTCCATCCAGTACAAAGGACCTTATAGGCACATGCCTATTTTTCCCCCAGGTGAAATTCGAAATGTCAGATGCAACTACGCTGGCGGATTTGCTCCAGCTGAACCTACACGCATATGAGGACGAGGTCCGGAACATCGTAGAAAAGGCTGTGAAGGAGTCCGGGATGGAAAAGGTGCCCTCTGTTAACAGTGAGATGTGTTTTGTGTGGGATGACGCTGAGGCTGATCCACCATCTGGTGCCTTATGAGCCTTGTTTCATGTGGGGTCCAGCAGCCGTTCCACACGAAAGGAGGCTCCTGTGGGCCTTCTCTGATCCAGCCGGTGACAGGAGCCATGTAAAGTATTTCCAGCATTTATTGCTGAAAGAAAAGACCTGACTCCTGACCATAGCTCTGTCTGCAGCACGCAATGGCATGTGCCTTTACAAACAGCCTGACCTCCTTCTGCGGGGGACTCTCCTCTGTGGGAGAGGAGGCAAGAGGAGAGTGGGGGGCACGGGCCACCAGCCAGCCCCGGCGCTGCGAGGACCCGCCAGGGCACAGGGACCCCCTGGAAGACTCCTTTTGCGACTCAGGTCTCCTCACCTGACTAACTCGTGTGTGAGTTCAAAGTGTCACATTTCAGCTTTTTTTTCCCAAACAGCTTTATTGAGCTATGGTCCACATCCACACCACTTGCCTATTTAAAGCGTGTAGTTGAATGGCTCTTAGCGCATTCACAGAGATGTGTCACCGTCATGTAGTAGAATTAGCCAATGTTAGACCATTTTCTTCACCTCCAAAAGAAACCCATAACCCTGAGCTGTCTCCCCACCTTCCCGTACCCCGGCCCAGCTCTGAGCAACCGTAACCCACTTCCGCCTTGTGGATTTGCCTAGCCTGGACACTTCCCGTCAGTGGAATCATACAGTCTATGGCCTTTTGTGGCTTCTTTCACTTCGAGGTTCCCCCCATGCTTTAGGGTGTGGTGGCACTTTGTGCCGTCATCTGACCAAATGCTACCCTGCTGTGCGGGCAGACCACAGGGGGTTTACCCTTCATCTGTTGGCGGATGCTGGGTGGATCCCACCTTCTGATGATTGTGAGTCATGTTGGTATGAACACGTTTCTTAAAACAGGGCTTCCTTCTGTGTTCTGGGAGACCCTGGGCCCTTCTCCGCTCCACATGCCGGACGCTCACTGATGGGTCTCTGTGTTGCCCTGAAAGGTGCTGACAGCCCTGGAGAGTACCTGGTCCGCCATGGAGTTCCAGCACGAGCCGCACCCGCGCACGGGCACCGTGATATCCAGTCCCTGCCTCTGTGATAACATCTCAGATCTCCTTCTCCTTTCTCTTATAAGGACACCTGTTATTGGGCTTAGGGCCACACAGGTAATTCAGGATGATTCCATCTCAAGATCTTAACTTCTGCAAGGACCCTATTTTCAAATAGGTCGTAGGCTGAGGTCCAGGTGGCCATGAATTTGGGGGGGATGGTACTCAACTCACTACAGATGGGTTCTGGCTATTATGCAGCCTTACAGGGAGGAAAGGCCAGGCTGGGAGAGGTACCTTGCCCATCAGGGAGCCAGTAAATGGCAACACAGAGCTTCCAGCTGCTCCCCCACAGCCCGAGGTCGCCCACTAACGGCCTCTCCATGAGGGATAAAGATGTCCATCCAGTACAAAGGACCTTATAGGCACATGCCTATTTTTCCCCCAGGTGAAATTCGAAATGTCAGATGCAACTACGCTGGCGGATTTGCTCCAGCTGAACCTACACGCATATGAGGACGAGGTCCGGAACATCGTAGAAAAGGCTGTGAAGGAGTCCGGGATGGAAAAGGTGCCCTCTGTTAACAGTGAGATGTGTTTTGTGTGGGATGACGCTGAGGCTGATCCACCATCTGGTGCCTTATGAGCCTTGTTTCATGTGGGGTCCAGCAGCCGTTCCACACGAAAGGAGGCTCCTGTGGGCCTTCTCTGATCCAGCCGGTGACAGGAGCCATGTAAAGTATTTCCAGCATTTATTGCTGAAAGAAAAGACCTGACTCCTGACCATAGCTCTGTCTGCAGCACGCAATGGCATGTGCCTTTACAAACAGCCTGACCTCCTTCTGCGGGGGACTCTCCTCTGTGGGAGAGGAGGCAAGAGGAGAGTGGGGGGCACGGGCCACCAGCCAGCCCCGGCGCTGCGAGGACCCGCCAGGGCACAGGGACCCCCTGGAAGACTCCTTTTGCGACTCAGGTCTCCTCACCTGACTAACTCGTGTGTGAGTTCAAAGTGTCACATTTCAGCTTTTTTTTCCCAAACAGCTTTATTGAGCTATGGTCCACATCCACACCACTTGCCTATTTAAAGCGTGTAGTTGAATGGCTCTTAGCGCATTCACAGAGATGTGTCACCGTCATGTAGTAGAATTAGCCAATGTTAGACCATTTTCTTCACCTCCAAAAGAAACCCATAACCCTGAGCTGTCTCCCCACCTTCCCGTACCCCGGCCCAGCTCTGAGCAACCGTAACCCACTTCCGCCTTGTGGATTTGCCTAGCCTGGACACTTCCCGTCAGTGGAATCATACAGTCTATGGCCTTTTGTGGCTTCTTTCACTTCGAGGTTCCCCCCATGCTTTAGGGTGTGGTGGCACTTTGTGCCGTCATCTGACCAAATGCTACCCTGCTGTGCGGGCAGACCACAGGGGGTTTACCCTTCATCTGTTGGCGGATGCTGGGTGGATCCCACCTTCTGATGATTGTGAGTCATGTTGGTATGAACACGTTTCTTAAAACAGGGCTTCCTTCTGTGTTCTGGGAGACCCTGGGCCCTTCTCCGCTCCACATGCCGGACGCTCACTGATGGGTCTCTGTGTTGCCCTGAAAGGTGCTGACAGCCCTGGAGAGTACCTGGTCCGCCATGGAGTTCCAGCACGAGCCGCACCCGCGCACGGGCACCGTGATGCTCAGGTCAGACGAGGTGCTGGTGGAGACCCTGGAGGACCACCAGGTGCAGCTGCAGAACCTCCTGATGTCCAAGTACCTGTCCCACTTCCTGAGGGAGGTGACGAGCTGGCAGCAGAAGCTGTCCACGGCAGACTCGGTCATCTCCCTCTGGTTCGAGGTCCAGAGGACCTGGAATCACCTGGAGAGCATCTTCATCGGCTCCGAAGACATCCGCACCCAGCTGCCAGAGGATGCCAGGCACTTCGACGAGATCGACCTGGGCTTCAAGGTGAGCACAGCCCCTCCCTCCTGCTGGGCAGCCTCAGAAATGGCTGCCTTGGGGAACACCCATCTATGGCGGTGCCCTTCTCCTCCCAGGCCTTGATGGGAGAGGCAGTGAAGACACCCAATGTGCTAGACGCCACCAACAAACCGGGTCTCTGCGACAAACTGGAAAATCTGAAGCAGAGGTGAGTCCCCGCGCCTGCAGATGAGGGGCATCTTGGGGCAGGAGCCTGGGTCACGCACGCCTGCTGGCCAGGATGGAGCAAGCGCCCCGGGTGCTGGGTCAACACGTCCCTTCCCTGGGAGCTTGCGCTCAGCCACTTCCTGCTGCATCAGCCACACACAGTGTCTTCAGCCTCAGAGGAGACGACTGCAGAGATTGAACTGTACCCCCTCCTTCCTAGGGACACCCACAGGGGCGGGGGCTGGCAGGACCGGGCACCAGGTTGGAAGGGCTGCATTCAGCAGGGGCTGCAAACGGCAGGCTGATCCCCAGGGCTGGCGGTCGGGTGCAGACAGGGTGGGCTGGGAGAGACCCTCTGGAGAGTACGCCCCAACAGCCTTGTTTCCCTCCCAGGCTGGCTGTGTGCGAAAAGGCCTTGGCAGAGTACTTAGAGACCAAAAGACTGGCTTTCCCAAGGTTCTACTTTGTCTCCTCGGCTGACCTCCTGGACATTCTCTCCAATGGAAATAACCCCATGGAGGTAGGCGGGCCACTGGTATGCTGACAGACAGCTGACTGCGGGTGCGACCTGCAGACCCAGGTGGACATGGCCCCACGTCTGGGCAGCCCTGGGATGTTGGAGGACTGTCCGTGGATGTCCCTGTATCACCTCCACATCAGGAATTGCCCTGGGGCCACCTGTCACAGAAATGCTGAGGGACGGTTCTTGACCCTGCCCTCTACCTCTCCATGCCCTGTTTCCATCACGTGGAAAATGGGTTAGATGCCAGCAGCTGGGTGAGATGCTGTTTCCCAGATACACCCACTCACTCAGTTGCCCTCCAGCTCATCCTACTGAATCCTGGGTCCCAGGAGCCAGGAAGAAATGTTTTTGGAGGGCCTTCTGAGAGAGAGGACGGCTAACTAAGTAGGTGTCAGGGAGACAACTGTATTTTACTTTAATCATAAAGTTGCGCAAGAAGGGACACCCAAGGGTGACCTGAGATTAGCATCGGAGCGTGTGCCCCAGGGAAACGCAGGCAGAACCTGGGCCAGGCCCTCGAGGAGAAGCAGTCTTCAGGACGTTTGCCCCTAATGTGCTGGGACCCCTGGGCTGGCCTCTGTCCCCCCAAGAGCAGTTTTTGCTTTTCTCTTGGTTGGTTAAGTGTGTGTGGTTAAGACCGATCAGAGAAGCAGGGTATATTCCAAAAAAAAGGACGCTTAAAACTGCCAGAAAAACCCAGGCCTGTCCCCCCCTGGAGTCCCTCGGATGCTTAGTCTCCAGCATTCCCTCCCCCCAGGTGAGCCGCCACCTGTCCAAACTCTTCGACAGCCTTTGTCAACTGAAGTTCCGTCTGGACGCTGACGGGAGGCCCATCAGGCTTGGTCTGGGCATGTATGACAAGGGGGACGAGTATGTGGACTTTGACCAGGAGTGTGACCTCTCAGGGCCGGTGAGTGTCACGCAGGTGGCAGAGCGAAGGGACAGGGGACCCCCCCCGGGATGATGGGTGTGCGGGCTACCCACCCTCAGACGGGTGTTGGCACATCTCCAGCCCGTGACTGTCCTCTCAAACCAAAGCTTCAAGACTTGCTTATCAAATTTCCAGCACAATGTTATCCATACAGTCTGGAGTGCATCTTGGGAAAAAAAGATGAGAAAATAAGAAAGGGGTGGGGGTGAGTTTATTGATGCCATTGGATTGTTCCATGGCTTGCCAACAGGACCGCTCTGAAGGGGCCCACACGCACCTGCTCCACCAAATTCTATTGCCTGTCCAGAATAACGATGGCTTTGCTTTAGCAGAGGGGCCTCCTAACCTTGGGTAGCCCACCCCAGAAGGCTGGCTCCTCCTGCTGACAGCAAGCTGCCTGCTGCCCCCACCCCCGTCTCATGGCCCCAGTATTGATCAAGCAACTGAACTGATTTTGATGTTAGCCTAAGCAAAATGTAATTTGGAGGTAAATCAGTTGGGGAAAAAGAGAAAATCTCATTCAAGAAAACCTGTGCATCAACACTTTGGACCTACAGCCCCTGGCAGGGTTGTTGTGTATGGATGGGGCTGGTGGGGGCCGGGACAAGACCCATTCATCACAGTGTGTTCAGATTTGGCTCCCTGCTCAACTCCTTCCAGACAGTGCCAGCAACTGCGGCACGGTCCACCTGCACTGCATGTACAGTTAAAAAGGCAAACCGACCCCATTTTCCTGTTTGCCTTTCCACCCCAGTAGCAGCTAGTTGAGGGTTTGTATTTTAAAATACAAACAAGGCTTGTTAGCAAGTTGTGACAATCTCAGACCCAGTGATGACCAACCTAGGAGCAGGTAGGGGCTCATCACATCTCTGAACACTGACAGCACCTCAGGGGCTCAGGTGTAGCTTGTCTTCTCTTCTGGATTCTTCTCTGGATCCCCTTCTGCTCTGCCTAGAAATAATGTATGCCTGCAAATGCCCAGTCTGGGCTGCCTGACCACATTTTTAAGTGGGTCCCTCTTACTGCTCTATAAAAACCTTGACATGGCTGCCCCTGGGAGGATGACAATGACAAATGGTAATTTTTTTTTTTTCACAACAAAACAACTCATTAGAGCTAGACGCGCTCCTGGCCGCTCTGGTCAATGTGGCTCCTGTCCCCAGGTGGAGGTCTGGCTGAACCGAGTGCTGGATCGAATGTGCGCCACACTCCGACATGAAATTCCAGAAGCCATGGTGACATACGAGGAAAAGCCGAGGGAGCAGTGGATCTTTGATTACCCAGCGCAGGTCTCAGGCGGGCGGACGGACAGCTGGAGATGAGGGGCGGGGCTTGCTGTGTTCACCTGCTCCCTATGTTTAACCATCGTCCAGTGGAAAGCAGCCTGACTTAGTGGCATGAATATCTTTATTGGGAGTAGGAGGCTGCCCATTGTGTGCAACATAATGGGGGGTCCCATCTGTTTGCAGGTTGCGCTCACGTGCACTCAGATCTGGTGGACCACAGAGGTGGGCCTGGCGTTTGCAAGGCTGGAGGAAGGCTATGAAAACGCTATCAAAGATTACAACAAAAAGCAGGTGTGTGGTCCTGCATGTCCATCTGAAACTCCGTGGAGAGGTCAGCAGAAACAGCTTATTCTCTAAGAGTGCACCTTGCAGAACTGCTCTTTCTGTTGGCCCAAAGCAGTCAAGGATCAGCAAGCCCCAGTGGTTCTGCCCAGGAGAAACCACTTTAGAAATACACAACTGTAACTTCTCATCTGGAAATCATCAAATGCTACCTCGAGTCTTTAAAAAAAAAAAAAAACTTTGTTAGAAATTTAGAAACTGGAGATAATTTTTTTAATGAAAGAAGGAAAGCTACCCATAATCTCCCACCCAGATGTAACCACTATCAGCACACTTGTATGTAGACTCATGATCTTTCTGTGTGCATATAATTGATTTATATGTAAAAAAATATGAACTATCCATACAGCTTTAAAATCCACTATTCTTAACATCTACCGTCTTCCCATGGCGTTAGATTTCCTTCTACCACATCACTCTTAGCTCCATGGTATTCCACTGGGTGGCTGTTTCACAGCTAAGCCCTCTTGAGAACTTCTGTGTTTCATTATTGCCAACAAGAGCATGGTGGTCTTCCCTTTCTGTGAGCCCCTGGGGACCCACACAGTCTGACGAGCGGTGTGTGCACTCGATTGGCACCGCATGGCGGCCCAGCCAAGCTGCCTTTGTTCCTATAGGTCGGTCAGCTGAACGCACTTATCACCCTGCTCATTGGAAACCTCAGCGCTGGCGACAGGATGAAGATCATGACCGTCTGCACCATCGATGTACACGCCCGGGACGTGGTGGCCAAAATGATCACAGCCAAGGCATGTGAACCAAGGAAGGGCCAGGGAACTGGGCTGGGGCCTAGCATTCGGGGATTCCAACCCCCATTAGCACATCTTCCTGGGGAGGTGACTCTACTCCAGGCAGTGGCCACACACCCCACACCCCACATCCCTGGCCTAGAGTCACCCCTGGTAAGCAGTCAGATGAGCAGTCCTATTCGAAGCACCCGTTCTCCAGCGAGATTCAGCCGGGGGCAGTGCTAGGTTGGTGTGGGTGCTGAGGAGGAGCAGAGGGCTGGGGAGCGGGCCCTGGAGGTCAGGGACCAGCCTGGAGGCAAGCAGGCCCTCCTTGGTGGGGTCTGGCCCTCATGCTCCTGCACGTCCCACAGGTGGAGAGCTCTCAGGCCTTCACCTGGCAGTCCCAGCTCCGGCATCGCTGGGACGAGGAGAAGAGGCACTGCTTTGCCAACATCTGCGATGCCCAAATCCAGTATTCCTACGAGTACCTGGGCAACACGCCACGGCTTGTCATCACCCCGCTCACTGACAGGTGTGGTGCCCGCCCGCTCGCTGCCTTCAGCGGGGGCTGCCTGCCCGTCCCTTCCTAAGCAGCTCAGGAAAGGAAATCACACATTTTCTGTGGATTCCTCCCCACGACTCTTTGCACCGTCAGACCCAAACGGGCCCCACTGAGGCTGAAGGAACCAGGTGTTCTGGTACGGGGCCTGCACTCCGGTTCAGGCCTGCCGCCTGCTAGGCACCAGCCTTCTTATTCACGTGCTCTGCTGCTGGCTGTGTGGCCCTGGGGGAGTTGCTTAACCTCTCTGAGAGCCTATGAAGTGGGGATAATACTTTATGAATCCTCATAAGCTTGTAGAAGGTTGAGCGAATTCTTTGACTTGAGCTCTCAGGCCAGAAGCTGCTCAGAGTAAACGTTCAATGAATGTAACATGACCGTCGCCGTTCCCTTAGCAGTGCCACCGCCCTGAAGGCCGCGGTGAGCAGAGCACCGGTAACACTGGTTCCTCGTCCTTCCCTTCCCCGTCCCTCTGTCAGCCTTGGGGCTGGGCGGGTGTAACTGAAACCACAGTGACAGGGCAAGCAGGGCAGCTGTGGGGTCTCTGCTCACGGGGTAATCAGAGGTCCCTTGCAGATGCTACATGACCTTGACCCAGTCCCTCCACCTGATCATGGGTGGAGCCCCTGCTGGTCCTGCTGGGACGGGCAAGACAGAGACCACCAAGGACCTCGGCAGAGCCCTGGGCACTATGGTGTACGTCTTCAACTGTTCTGAGCAAATGGACTACAAGGTACGCATCCCAGGCCTGTAGCTGGGGCCAGAGGTCCCATGGGGGACCAAATCCATCAGCCTTCCCGGGAGACTGAAGCCTCAGCACCCGAAATGAACACCCAGAGAGGGGGCACCGGGTCCCCAGTTTGCTGACAGCCTCCACCCAGCAGACAGGCTGAGCGTCTATGCCCCTGCTGGCTACTGTGGCCCCTCTGGGAAGCTGGGGCCTCTTGGACATGACAAGCATGTCTGGAAGGGGCTCCCAGGATTGACAAGCCCAGCCCCCAGCATCCTACCCCACCCACGGAGGTAACCAGCCCCAATCTCAGTTTCAAGCTTGCCCCGGGCAACCAGGGGCTCCACAGGGCAGACACCTCTGGGCTAAAGCAAAGCCAGGTGGGCATCTGGGCTAAGGCAAAGCCAGATGGGCTAGGGAGGGGAGCTGCAGATAGGCCAGGTGCCTGCAATCATTGGTGACTTTGCAGGAAGGTGACCAGTCTCACAGAGCACATGCCCTCAAGGGCCAGGCCAAAGCAGCCCCTTGTGGGGAGGTGGGGCTGGGCACTGTGGTCAGGAGCCTAGGCCTGCAGGTGGGCCCCTCCCCGTCCATTTCCAAGCCCTGCAGCGTGGAGGACTCCCTCTGAAGGCTGAGGGTCTGCCGGCTGCCCACCTCTGCACTGTCAAGGCTGCAGTGATTTTAGAGAAGTGAGACCCAAGCCCGTGCCCCCTGGCATTTCATCTTCACTGGGAATGCCATCTGAAAATGCTGAAAGGGCAGCCTGATTTCCCAGCTGAAGACCGGAGTCACACCAAAATCTCTAAGAAAGTCTTCTGATGTGCACTCCTCCCCCCGCACACCACAGGGGGAAGCCCCTCCCTTCTGTGCAAGAGAGAAAAGCAAGGGCTGAATTGTACACCAATGCACTTGTCTGAGCCCACCAGTTAGGGAACCCGGGGGAGGCCCCATTCCAGGGAGGGTCACAGGCAAAGGATGGGCTGCTCCTGGCACCCAGCCCTATGTGGTATTTACCCCTCCTGGGACGTGGGCCATCCTGCCCGTTAGCCTTCCGAAAGCCCCAGAACACCCAGCCTGAGCCTTGGTCCGGGAGCCGAGAACAAGACAGTGATTCAGTTGGGGGCCAAGCCAGCTCTCTGCTTCTCTCTCTCTCTCCAATGCACTCTTCTCCAACCTCACCCTTTCCAGTCCTGTGGAAATATCTACAAGGGCCTGGCCCAGACGGGAGCCTGGGGCTGCTTTGACGAATTTAACAGGATCTCTGTGGAAGTCCTGTCGGTAATCGCTGTGCAGGTAGGTCCCACCGGTGGTCTCCGGGTCACGTATTGCTTACTGCTTTGCCAGAGTGAGGCTTAGCAGCTTTCCTGTTACCTCATACACCACACACCAGAGAGCCAGTTCAGCCCCACACACCCTCCTTGCCCCCAAGGGGCATGAGGGGCAGTGTGGCACAAAGACGAGCTGGGCCTCGGCCCTGCCCTTGAGGACCATACAGTCTGGGTGGCCAACAGAAGTGAGAGCAGAATCAGACTCGGTGGCATATATGTTCCTGAACACAGGTGAGGGGATGATTCATTTTGCTTGGAGGTCAAGGACAGAGGGCACTGTTACAGACACCAGTGGAGGTGGGCACTGAGGGATGCACAGGAGTTTGTCGATTAGACAAGGGTGCTGGGAGTGAACAGGAAGAAAAGGGGGAAGAGGGAGGAGCCTGAGTCCTTTGGAAGCACCCACACCAGAGTGCAGGGCACACAGGGGGCGCCCGGACAGGGGGTGCTGGGCCCTGCTTCAGCACCCCCCGGGCTGCGGATTCAAACCACCGTGTGGACCCCGCCCCACATTTAGACGAACAGGCTTGCATTTTAAACATATGCCTCAGGCGATCCTATGCATTCCCAAGCTGAGGACTACTGGACTTTCTCAGGTAAACTGACGTCAACCTTGAGATCCAGAGTCAACTTAGATTTTCCAAAAGGAGTCGGAAGTTAGAATGTTGATGGTGCTGAGATCCTTCTTCCCACCCCAACAGATAGATAAGTAGATACGAGCTTCTGGAGCAGGACCTTCTAGACCACGGTGCGGCTGGGACAGGGCTGAACAGAGTCGGGGGAAGAGCAGAGGAAGGCATGGATGTGGCAAAACCAGCCCCAGCCGCTCAGGACCCACAGCCTGGGCACCTGGGTGTGAAGCCTGGTTCCGTTTTACTAATTGGACTCCCTAATTTTGTGCTTGGCAATGATTTAAACCCTTTGTGCCTCTATTTTCTAATCTGTAAAATGGGTTGCCTGATGCAGCTTTGCCTGCAGAATCAGAGGGGAATGTGGGTACTGACGTCCTGCACTACTGTCACCCAACTACCTGGCTGTGGGCGTGAGCCCTGGGACCGGACAGAGACCAGGAAGGCGATGAGAGAATGATGGACAGCCAGTTCCTCGGGCCAGCATGTGGGCAGTGCTGGCCGCTGCCCTGGGCACCCCCACCCCTAATGCAGGAGCAGAGTTGCACACCCCCAGTCAATAAACAGACCCCAGAGTATTTACACAGAGCCTATTTTAGGCACTGAACTTTCTTTTTACTCAAATGGAGGAGCACGACTGGGGCAGAACATTAGGGGAGGCCTTACATGGTGGGGAGGCAGGGAAGAATTCAAGGCGTCTTCCATTCCCGCCCCCAGCCCTGCAGGGGTGTGAGCCCGGCACTGCGGACTAGGCCCAGAGGAAAGTCCAGGACTGCCAGGGCCTGCGTTTTGCTGTGAAGGTGGAGGCTTTGGGTCCAGCGTTTAGGTTTTAACCATGAGCGTCGGCCGCCCTCCAGCGGTGACTCGGAGGCTTACAGCCGCCCCCGCGGGAGCCGGAGGTCAAAGGCAGCCCATGGCCCCAACGCACAGGTTTCACCTGCTAGCCAAGGTCTCAAAGACGGTGTGGTGTGGAGATGGCTACCAGCCCTCCCACAGGTCACTGCGGGGCAGGGACAGGACGCATAACATGCTAGGAGGGGGAGCACCACTCAGCAGCAGTGGGCGGCGAGCCACGGGGTCATCAGGGCATCGCCAGGGCCTTGCGCTGGGTGCTGAGAGCCCGTCTGATGACATCTGTATGGTCCCACTCAGTGATGTTCCTGAAATGACCAACAGACGGAAATGAGCACAGCTTAGCAGTAGCAGGGGAGGTGGTCAAGGACAGCCGGGGCGGGAGGAAGGGGGTGTGGCTGTAAAAAGGGACAGGAGGGCTCTTTGCTGTGCCCGGAATGTCCCGAGTCTTAACTGTTGATGTCCGTGTCCTGGTTGTGATGCTGTGTCACATTGGTGCAAGATGCCCCACTGGGGACACACCCGCAGTGGGGCACACAGCATCTCCTCTGCATCATTTCTAACAACTGCATGTGAACCTGAAACTGTTTCAAAATAAAAGTTTAATTTAAAAATGGGAGAGACCAGGAAGGTTGTCTGCAAATTCGTAGCCACACACTTTAACACAAAAGAATGTCTTTCAGCCCAGGGACCCTGGTCCTTCCCGCACTGACTGTTCATGCACCGATGGTTTAGGTAAAATGTGTCCAAGATGCAATTCGGGCCAAGAAAAAAACGTTTAATTTCCTGGGAGAGATGATAAGCCTCAACCCCATGGTCGGCCTCTTCATCACCATGAACCCCGGGTACGCTGGACGCACGGAGTTGCCCGAGAACCTGAAGGCCTTGTTCAGGTATGCGGTGTGCCTAGGAGAGCGAGCTGGGGGCAGAGGCCAAGCCAGGCCAGCGCTAGCTGAGAAAGGGGCCTTGTGGGGACAGGGCTCCTGATGGAGAGGGGCCCAGCAGGCCTCGGCTGTGGCGGCCATCCTGCCCTCTGACTGCCTGGGGTGCGGGTCCCACTGAGGCACAGCTTGCCTGCCCTGGGTACAGGAGGGTGGCAGGCAGGCTCAGGGCAGCTCTCAGGGAGGAGCCCATAGAACAGATGTGCCCAGGGCCAGGGCAGCCGGGAGAGGAGAGGGGAGGAAGGAGACGGCTGTGGGCCCCTGGCAGTGAGCTGTGCACCTGGGTGATGGGGCTGGGGGGAAGCGGGGTGCGAAAGCCCAAGGCAGGCGTGCCGGCCTCCCCAGGCCCTGTGCTATGGTCGTCCCTGACTTTGAACTGATATGCGAGATCATGCTGGTGGCTGAGGGCTTTCTGGACGCCCGCCTTCTGGCCAGGAAGTTCATCACACTCTACACCTTGTGCAAAGAGCTGCTCTCGAAGCAGGTGTGTGTTGACAGTGTCCTGGGCCCACAGAGCCAGGGATGGGAGGGGTTAGGAGTACAGGTGGCCCCAGCCCTCTAGGACCCCAGCCATCCCCTTGCATCCTCTGCCCCCAGGATCACTACGACTGGGGCTTGCGAGCCATCAAGTCTGTGCTGGTGGTGGCTGGCTCCCTGAAGAGGGGCGACCCCAGCCGGGCAGAGGACCAGGTGCTGATGAGGGCGCTGAGGGACTTCAACATCCCCAAGATTGTGACCGACGACCTGCCCGTGTTCATGGGGCTCATCGGGGACCTCTTCCCGGCTCTGGACGTGCCTCGGAAACGGGACCTGAATTTTGAAAAGGTAGGTACTACGGGGCCACCCCAGGGCCTCCTGCCTGCTGAGGACATTCCTTTATACCACGTGGGGGACTGGTCCCTAAGTGGCAGGTGCAACACTGGGCTAGGTGGCGGGCACATCGCCAACGGGCAATAATCCATGGGCGGCTCCCTGTGCTACGAGACACACCTTGAGCCTACAGGCTGCTTCTCCAGCCCAGGCCAGCCTCTTACTCGCTGGTCAGGGTGTCGCAAGAAGGGCTGGAGGAGGCTTCAGGAGAGCCCGTCTCCCGCACCAAGGTCTCAGCACAAAGACAAGGCAGAAGGTGCAGAACGAGCCGCCTGCAGGGCCCCCTTCCCCGCATGATGCCGCCTGCAGGGCCCCGTTCCCCACGTGCCTCCTGCTGCGCAGGCAGCTCCCCCGCCGGAAAGCCTGCCCGGGCCTTGCACCCTTGCCCAGCGCCCTTCCTGTGCGCACCTCCCAGGTCATCAAGCAGAGCATCGTGGAGCTCCGGCTGCAGGCGGAAGACAGCTTCGTGCTGAAGGTCGTGCAGCTGGAGGAGCTGCTCCAAGTGCGCCACTCCGTGTTCGTCGTCGGGAACGCGGGCAGCGGGAAGTCCCAGGCACGCCCCCCACCGCGCCGGTCCCGCCCCCAACCCCCAACCCCCACCGGAGGCCCCGCCCGTTCCGCTCGGCGGCGGAGGGCGCTGGAGGGCCGGACTCCGCCCCTTCTCCCACCCCTGCGACCCCAGCCCACTGCGTCCTGGGAGGTCCCCAGCCTGAAATATGTCAGGGGCTAAGGAGGCTGTGAGGGGTGGCAAGGGGTGGGGGAGGAGGCCAGGCGCGGCCTCAGGACGCTGCCCCAGGGATGAGCCCTTCTCTGGGGTTCTCCCGTCCCGCTCCTTCCCCTCCAGCAGTTCCTGCCTCCCCCGGCCAGCCCCCGACCCGTCGCCCTCCTGTCCCCTGTCCCGGCCATTGCCTGGGGGGACGGGTGGGGGGCTGGAAAGCAGAGAGCGCAGCCAGTATTGCTAAAACACGGGAAAATTCCAGACCAGCCACACCTTCGCCTAGATGCCCCAGGGTGGGTTGTTACAGTCATTAGGGGTCATTTCCAAAGAGTAATAAAATGCTCACAGCTAATTTGCAAAAGGCCAAAACTGTATGAACGCAATTTTCTAAAAAGAAATATATACATACATATACATATACATGTACATATGTATGTTTTTGTATATGAAACATCCTCAAATGTCCTTAAAAATCCTTTTCTCTGCATTGAGGAGTTATGGATAGTTTTCTTCCCTTAAGTTTTTTTTCAATAAGGTTTTTTTTTGGTTATCAGGAAACTAACGGAATTTTTCCTGACATAGCATGATCTCGAGCCCACGGCTCTCCGCGGTCGGCGGGCAGGAGCACTGGCGGCAGCTGTGCCGCCCCCCGGGCCGCTTTGACATGAACTGTCGTTTGGGGGACTCAGACTCAGCTGCATGTCACCGAAGCAAAGCGGACCCGGAGCAGGGCTTCTGCCGGTGGTTCCCATGGGGCCCTTCCTGCACACCGGGGTGGCTCCTTCACAGCCCCGTCGGGTCGGGGTGCAGGATGCGGCTGCCCTGCGAGCCCCGAGTGAATGCCCCCACCTCTGCCCAGGTCCTCAAGTGTCTCAACAAGACATATCAGAGCCTGAAGAGGAAGCCGGTCGCCGTGGACCTGGACCCCAAGGCCGTCACCTGTGATGAGCTCTTTGGCATCATCAACCCTGCAACCAGGGAATGGAAAGATGGTAACAGGAGCGGGGGGCCTGGGAGGGGCTGTGCGGTGGGCATGGGGCCACCAGCAGACATGCCAGGCCCCTCAGCCAGCACACCCCGTGTTCACACCGGGCCCACTTTCTTCTGGTCATTCCGCTGTGCTGTGCGGTGACTCTGCCATGTGCCTGGCCAGGGGCCCTGAGAAAACCCTCAGCAGGTCTAGTTGTGGGGCGGGAGCCATACATACATGTGGTGCATGACAGTGCTTCTAAAGAGCGGTGGGGACCCAGCTGCCCTCCTGGACTGGGAGCCAGGGAGCTGCTCCAGGATCCCCCCCTCAGAAGGCCTGCCCGCCCCCCCGTGCCCCTTCTCCTTGCCTGCCTCCTTCCCCCAACAAGGATGTGGGCCCTGCAGGTGGCCAGGGCCTCGGATTGTCCCCAAGCCCCTTGCTTGCTCCAAGCTCAACCCACCCAGAGTGCTGGGTGGGCTGTGGCTGAGAGAGTGAGGGAGGGAGCGAGGGGGGAATGGGTGAGGGGGGAATGGGTGAGGGGCCGGTGGCGCTCCTCCACATAACATTGTTGAACCTGAAGAACCAGACTGGGCGGTGGGGGTGGGTCAGAGGAGGGCAGAGGCAGGGCTTGGGGGGCATGAAGGAGGGCCTAGGGGTCAAGAGGACGGACAAAAGGGAGCCCAGTCACCACCTTGTCGGGCCTCTGCTGGCCCTGTGAGCTGCGGGACAGGCCATCTCCGGAAGACGGCCACCAGGGTCAGGCAGGCACGGCCTCGGGGACAGGGTTGGTCTGAGCCCCTGGGCTTGGCTGGCCCTGAGGAGAGCCGCTTAGATGCCCGCCCTGCACCCACAGGCCTGTTCTCCACCATAATGCGGGACTTGGCCAACATTCCCCATGACGGCCCCAAGTGGATCGTCCTGGATGGGGACATAGACCCTATGTGGATCGAGTCTCTCAACACCGTCATGGATGATAACAAGGTCTGAGGGGTCCTGAATTCCACCGCTAAACCCCAGAATTGCGGTAATGGGAAGCGCCACCCATCACCCGCTGCACGGCAGATAGCCTGCCTGAGCTGGGACTCGGGGAGGGGCTGTCTGGAGCTGGGCACAGAGTTCAGAACAAGGGGGGTTCCTCATGCGACACAGTTGCCCCGTGCTCTGTCTTGGGCGTTTCTCAGCAGTGGTGTGTGTGGAAGGTGCAGGTGTGGAAAGCATTCTTGTCTGCTTGACATGTGACGTGACATGGAAAGGATGGCTGGTATCTTGGAAAGCAGAAACAGTATTCAGAATTATCTAGAAGCACCTTAAGAAAATGATTCTCAATTGGATGGAGGAGGAAGCTCAAGAATTCCCAGGGAAAGAGAGAGGCCGTGGTTTGAAAAGGCAGATTTAATATTAGAGTGACATCCAAGCCCCTAGCATTTCCTGGGGCAGGAGGACAGGGGTGGGACCGGCATGTGGGTGACCGAGAATCGCTGGTTAGGGGGAGCTGGCCGGGGTGGGGACAGGCACAGGGCCCCCATCTCCCTCCTCCTCCTTGCTCTGAGAGGCACCTGTGTGACTGATCGGCTGGATAATGGCGCATTTGCCACGGAAAACCCACAGGCCCGTCTTCCTTCCTAGGTCCTCACCCTGGCCAGCAATGAGCGAATCCCCCTGAACCGCACCATGAGGCTGGTGTTCGAGATCAGCCACCTGAGGACAGCCACCCCGGCCACCGTCTCCAGAGCCGGCATTCTCTACATCAACCCCGCAGACCTGGGCTGGAACCCGTGAGCTCGCTTTCATTTTCCCACCCTGAGAACAAGGTTGGCAGTGTTTCAGGTTGCCTGTGCCTGCGTGCAGTCAGTGAGCAGCATGTGCCAGGCGCTGCTCAGGCCCCGGGGCTACAGCCATGAGAGGATGAGGGACAGCCTTGTAAATAAGTAACGTGATACGCAGCAGCTGATGAAATGAGGCTCACACCATGGGTTGGAGCCCCAAGGCTGGGGGCTCGGAGGCAGGACATCTTCCCGCGGGAGCTGGAGTTTGGGCTGACACCAGGGGACAAGGGGCATGAGGGTGAGAATGTGGGGTTCCTGGGCCAGGACGTGGCTGGGTGCCCACGGATGGAGTTCGAGGCGTGAGGATGCTCTCGGCAGGAAGGGGCTGGTATGGACCAGCCTGCAGGGTCCATATGGGCCCTTCTGCTGAGCAGAGAGCCGCCTGTGCTGGTGGCTGGTGACTGGTGCCAGGACAGGGGAGGAAGGAACGGATGTGAGAAAGGGTTGGCATCTTAAGAAGTGGAAGGCTCGGGGGCCACATCGGGGCCAGAGGCAGTCTGTTTGCCACCCAGTCAGCCAGCCAGCGCCTTCTGCGCACTTACTGTGTGCGCTCCACTCATCCCTCGTTTGGCCAGCCTACCAGCGCCTTCTGTGCACCTACCATGTGTCTGGCCCTGGGACACTCCACGCTGGGGAACTGGATTCCCCAGGAAAGATGTGGAGAGTGGTAAGAAGCTGGTAAACCAACCATGTGCTGGGAAGACAGGAGCGCATGGGGGGGAGTCCCAGGGGCAGGCGGGAGCCAGGCGGATGACGTCCCACACACCCTGGGAGGAAGACGCTTCAGGGAGGAGGTGGGGCTGAGAGGGTCATGTCCAGAGGGCCGAGGAGCCAAGGACAGACGGCCGCCACAGGCTCAGGCAGCTCCTCGCTGACTCAGGGGGAACAACGTCACGGTGTGACGGGGCGGAAGCCAGCTGGCAAACAATTGAGGAGGAACCGAGAGGAGCCACTGGAGATTCAGCTCTTTCTGGAAATGAGTCTCATAGCTGGGTGATGAAGGGGAGTCTGTTTTTCATATGAGGGCACTGTTGGAGCACGGAGAGCAGGCATAGGGTGTTTCCAGGCTCAGGAAGTGCGTAGGTGGGGAGCAAGGAGGTGCGGGGTCACCCACCTCTTCCCTTCTGCAACAGGAAGTGAGACCATTGGCAGGGACACAGCCACCCCGGCTGGGCCAGGGTTTGAAAAGGGCACCCGAGTGCAGTAGCTCCTCCAGGGATGAGACCAGAGCTGGCCTGAACCCAGAGGGCTGGGGAGCCACCGTGACGGGCTGTGCTGTCTTCTCCAGCAAGGCCTGTCATCCCACTCGAGTTAGTCCCCTGTGGCTGCCACAGCAAAGCACCGCAAACGGGGGCAATCACCAACAGTAGTCTGGAGAGCTTCTTCTCTCACAGTCTGGAGGCTGGAGGTCCAAAATCAAGGTGTCGGCAGGGCTGGTTCCCTCCAGAGGCCCTGAGGGAGCATCTCTCCAGGCGCCTTACCGATTCTGGGGGCTCTGGGAAATCCGTGGTGTTCCTTGGCTGGTAGATGTGCCCTCCAATCTCTGCTCCTGTCTTCACATGCCACCCGGCCTGCCTCTGTGTCCCAGCTTCCCTCTTCTTAAGGACCAGCCATTGGGTTAGGGCTCATCCTAACCCAGGATGGTCTCGATTTGAGATCTTTCACCAGATTACTCTGCAAAGACCCTTTCTCCCAATAAGTCTGCATTCACTGTGTCACATTTGAGAGTTTTCAGGGTGGGCAGCAGACAAGGCAAGGGAACAGGCGAAGTTGAAGCGGGAACACTGAGACATGGGGGACAGGCAGAAAATGGGTCGTGGGTCACTCTGGGGGTACTCGGTGAGGGTGGGGAGGAGAGAGCGGAAAGATAAGCAGATGTAAGCAGAGGTAGAAAACTGCTTCTTTCAGCCAGGAGCAGTTCTTGGGGCTCCCAGGAATGACCAAGAGGGGAACAGCTCTTTGGGGACGAGGAGGAGACCCGGATTTTGCTGGAGGAGAGAAGTGAAGTGGCTGATCCCCTGCACGGCAGCTCCAGGGAGGAGCAGGGGGAACTCGGGGCCAGGAGATGGCCGAACACATCCCAAGTGGATGGAAATCAAGGCACCAGGACCTGCCCCAGGTGCCTCCTGGGGGCAGGGCAGGAGCCCCCTGAGACCAGGGACAGGAAAGCCAGCTCGTCCTCCTAAGTGTGTGTGTGTCTCTCTGAGCTTGCATTTCAAATCACAGCCAGCGTGCTCACCTACATGCACCGAGTGACTAACCAGGGCGCAAGTTAAAGTTTGACATCAACACCTTCAAAACAGGAGGGAAACATAACAATCCACGTACAGATTTCCAAATTAGTCTCCACTCCGAAGACCTACTGTATGTGGAATTCAGTTCTGAACTGTGCCAGCCACTGGGGCGCCAGGTGTTGCCTGCAGACCCAGACCGCACACAGGTTTTCTACCCTGGATCATCCAGGTCCCCACGTGGTGGTGGATTTTAGCCCTCAGCCCTCTGTTCCAGCGGAGTTCTGTCAGGGCAGCGCGTCCAGAACCCGAGCTCACTCACAGAGGCATCTCTGTCGGGCTGCGGGCAGCAGCTCACTTGCATTTGGTAACACGAGCTTCCTGTTCACGCTCCAGGCATCCTGGAGATGACGTGCTCGCTGACCTGCGAGGAAGCTGGACACCATCTATGCTTTTAGCGGGCACTTACTTAGCACTCACTCCCTTCTATGGGCTTTAAAAATATCAGCCCAGGCAGTCCTCTGAAATGGGAGTTATCATCCCTCCCATTTACAGATGAAAAGTGTGGGACCCAGACAGGTTGAGTAAGTTTCCTGAGGCTGCTGCTGGCCACAGCAGAGCCAGTTCAGGCCCAGGCAGCAGGGCTCCCAAGTCCACACACTCTCACCATTGTGGTCGGCCACCCTATGCAACTCTAGAGGTGGGCAGTGTGCCAGGCAAACCTAAACAGGTCCTCAAAAGTTGCCTGTTGTATTAGTTTGGACTCTTTCACTGATCTTGACAAATTCAACTCAAACTGGCTGAAGCAAAAAAAAAAATTTTAAGTGTCTAAATTCACCAAGGGGTGCTTCAGGCATGGCTGGATCCAGGAATCCAGGTGATGTAATGAGACGTCCCTGCTCCTCTCCTAGTCTCTCCCTTCACTTCCCTTGCCCTCCCCTCACTCTCTCTCCCTCCCTCCATGATGTCATGAAATCAGCCTCTTCCCCTCCCCTCTCCTCTTGTATATCCAGCTCTACTGACCTCAGTATTAGCTTCACTTGGGGTAGCAAGAATGGCTCACAGTTGTTCCAGGCTTATGGCTCCCCCATAGCTAGGATCCTACAGAAAGAGCACACCCCACAATCCCAGTACCCTCTTCAGACCCTCCTAAGGTCTGTGTCTGGCCCCATTGCCAGGCTGGAGCACTAGAATAGCATGGAGGTGCCAGGAGACGATCTCCAAGGGGAGGGACAACCGGGCAGATGCAACATGGTGGCCCCGTCACCCAGCACCTCCCCGCCTTCCCCAGGGTGGTGAACAGCTGGATTGAGAGGCGCAAGGTGCAGTCGGAAAAGGCCAACTTGATGATCCTCTTTGACAAGTACCTGCCCACGTGCCTGGAGAAACTGCGCTTTGGCTTTAAGAAGATCACGCCGGTGCCTGAGATCACACTCATCCAGACGACCCTGTACCTGCTCGAGTGCCTGCTCACGGAGAAGAACGTACCACCCGACTCCCCCAAGGAGCTGTACGAGCTCTACTTCGTGTTTGCCTGCCTCTGGGCCTTTGGGGGAGCCATGTTCCAGGACCAGGTGAGCGGCCAGATGCCACAGGGACTGGCCACCCGGATGAGGCCCCCGGATGAGGCCTGGGGCTTCCCTCTTAGCTCGACCTTTTTTGTGTGTTTGTTTTGTAACAGCTTGTAGATTATCGAGTTGAGTTCAGCAAATGGTGGATCAGCGAGTTTAAAACGATCAAGCTCCCCTCACAGGGAACCATCTTTGACTACTACATCGATCCTGACACTAAGAAGTTCCTGCCCTGGACAGACAAAGTGCCCCACTTCGAGCTGGACCCTGACATTCCACTGCAGGTAGCTGGGGACAGTCAACTGGCGATTCAGGAGCAGGACTAAACGTACAGGTAGCAGGGCCCCAGGGTCCACCCCTCTTGGTGGGATGCGCACGTGCAAACCATTTTCAACAGCAGAACCTTTGCAGTAAAACGATATTTAGCAAACTGTCCAGGTGTGGGAGTGGGGGAGGGGGGTAGAAACAGGAGCTGCAGCCCTGCCCACCCCCCACCCCCCAGGCCTCTCTGGTGCACACCACGGAAACCATCCGCCTCCGCTACTTCATGGACTTGCTCATGGAGAAGGCGTGGCCGGTGATGCTGGTGGGGAACGCGGGCACTGGCAAGTCAGTGCTGATGGGTGACAAGCTGGAGAGCCTGAGCGCTGACGGGTACCTGGTGCAGGCCGTGCCCTTCAACTTCTACACGACCTCGGCCGTGCTGCAGGGTGCGGACAGGGTGGGCCGGCTGGTGCTGAGGGCAGGGACGGGGGTGAGGGGTGCAGGGGCACAGCCCAGCCCGGGCTCACCTGGCTGTGCCCGACCCACAGGGCTGTCCCCTGCCCCTACATTCCCCATTGTTCCTTCTCACCAGAGACTCAGGGACTTGGCAGGGTCCCCTGCACTCTGCATGCCCCCATCCTCTGGCCTTTATCCCCGGGACAGGGCATCGGAACTGGCAGCCAGGACACCTCATCACAGTGCTCACAAGCAGATGCCACAAGAGCTCACCCCATACCCCATGTGAGGTGGCCCCAGACTGACTGAGGGCAAGCTTCCTGCAGCCCTGCCTCCAGCCCCCAGTGGCCACGGCGCCCTCCTTCACTCCCGGGAGTGGATGGAGTACAAGTACCCCCCACGTCCATGACCCCTCCAGGACCAGCTCCTGGGCCTCTGCGTGCAGAGCTGGGGGCCCTGGGGTGGGTAGGGCCTCCCACTGGGACCTACCAGGCACCATGGCAGCCAACCTGTCCTTCCCTAGGGATTCTTGAAAAGCCACTGGAGAAGAAATCTGGGAGGAGCTTCGGGCCACCAGGCACCAAGAAGCTCATCTACTTCATCGACGACATGAACACCCCTGAGGTGGACAAGTACGGGACGGTGGCCCCCCACACACTCATCCGGCAGCACATGGATCACCGGCACTGGCAAGCGGGCTCTGGGGAGGTGCAGGGCCAGGGCGCCAGGGCCCGAGGGGACACCAGGGTGCCCTCCCTCATCCCTTGGGCACGCATGCCCTGAGCATCTGCCAGGCCCAGGCTGGCGGCTGTGGCCTAGAGCTCAGGTGGAGGGAGACAGACAGGCCCCTCTCCTATCAACTGATCCATCTGGCAGAGGAGATGGAGAGGTGCAGTTGCAGAGGTACAGAGGAGCTCTGAGGGAACCCCCAGTGCCATCACAGAACAGAAAGCCCACCTGCTGGCTCAGAGACACTCCTGGGGAAGCGCAGCACAGCTGGAACCTGGAGGCTGAGTCGGGACTAGCCATGGGACAGACTGTGGAGGGAGAGCATCTTGGCAGAGCAGACACCATGTGCAAAGGCCCTGTGGCAGGAGGGAGCAAGGCACACGGTGGGACTGAAGGAGACCAGTGTGGCTGGAGCTGGAGGGAGAGGGTGCCTAAGGCAGCTGAAGCCAGACCCCAGGACCCATGGGCTGCTGGACACAGAATGGACTTTCTCCCAAGGACAATGGAGAGCCAAAGATGGCATGTTTAAGTTTGTAGTTCAGAAAGATCAGGACACACAGTGCAGTTAAACTCAGCGTCTCTTGAAATAAGAGTCCTGTAATGACCTGACAAGTGACCCAGATCTGGGTTTTGAAACCAAAGGAACCCAAGAAATCCCAGCAGAAATCAGTCGGAGGAGGGCAGGAGGGAAACCTGGAGGGCGGCCCACACCCCCGTGAGGAGGCTCTCCCGTGAGGCGCAGGGGGGCTCAGCCTCCGCACACAGGCCCCTGGTTCCGTGCTCTCAGAATGGGTTCCCCAGGTCACATGTTCTTGCAAGACTTGGAAAGCTGAGGTATTCTGTGTTCTCTTCTTTAAAGAGGGCCCTCGAAGCCGGAAGCTTCAGCCCTGGGTCCACACCTGCCCCTGAGTTTATCCTAAAGGCTCTTTAGGAGGGGGGGAGATAGAGTCAGATTTGAAAGATCCCTCTAGAATGTCAGATAAAGGTGGGCCCGTGATAGACAGGGAAGGGCGACCGTTTAGTGACTGTCAGCAAGTGTGGGAGAAACAGCAGCCCCAAAGGCCATTACCACGTGAACAAGGGTGGGCGCCGCATGGAGTGCAGACCCACAGGCCAAAGGTGAGACCACCAAGGTGACAGAAGAAAGCGGGAGGATGCTCCGAGATCTGGGGGCGGGCGGGCGAGCAGGGCCTCTTGGACATGAGCTTCAGGAGCTTACACTAGACGGCCAAAATGGTTACTTTGATTCGCATCATAATTAAGGAATATTGTTCACAAAAGGTACCATGGGCAGAGTTGACAGCATGGCGGAACCTCTAGAGGTAACAGCAGTTGAGTACGTGCCGCGTGCAAGGAGTTCTGGAACAGGCAGCAACTGCCAGCAGAAAAACTGCACAGTGCTGGGATGCCCTACGGGGAAGGGCACATGAAAGGATGGGCCGACCCTACGTCCTTTCACTCATCTGAGCCCCTGGACGCTCTGTCAGTGCCCTGACTTCAAGGAAATTAGCCTATTTGATAACAGTCATCAGTAACTATAACCATAATGGGTTGGTGGTGAACACTGGTCACATGCTGTATTTCAGGCGTCATGCTCCGTGTGTTGTCATGTGTCAGCCCTTCGAGTCATCGTAATGACCCCATTGCACAGACAAGATCACGGAGGAACAGAGGGGTTAACCCCCTACCCAGTGCTGCTAATGGAAAAGCTGGAATATAAACCAGACCTGCACTCTGAGCCTCTGTGGCCTCCCATGTCAAAATTTCTCTTGAGAACATGAAGTAAATCGGCTGTTTCACATAAAATCGATATTTACGGGGGTCTTTATTTTTTTGTCACTAGCAAGGCAGAGTAGGGGGCCAGGGACGGCTCCTCCAGGCCAGTGGCACGACCTCACACTGGCCTCCCCCATGCAGGTACGACAGACAGAAGCTGACGTTGAAGGACGTCCACAACTGTCAGTACGTGGCCTGCATGAATCCCACCTCTGGATCCTTCACCATCGACCCCAGACTGCAGGTGGGCAGACTTCATTTCAGTCAGCTGCCACGGGTTTGAGGCTCACTTTGGTAAATGAGGGTAAAAACATTGACTGGGGGTGTTAGGGTCACAGGCTGACATTCTCCAAAGAACTCCCTAACCTTTCAGAATATGTCAGGAAGCTCTGGGGCCGAGGGTGTCGGGAAGCTAGCCAGCCTTCCCCGTGACCCCATAGGGCTGCCAGATTAAGCAAATAAAAATACAGATCTGAATTTCAGTTAAACAACAAATATTTGTTTAGTATAAGCCCGTCCCATACAATATTTGGGACAGGCTTATACTAAAAATAATTTTTGTTCATCTGAAATTCAGATGTAATGGGGTCTCCTGTATCGTGTCTGCGACCCCACCTAGGCAGGGCTTCCTCGCTGAACCATCTGAGCAGATGGAGACCTCGAATATAACCCCAGGCCTGTGCTCTCAGACTCTCGGGCCCTCTGCCAAAATTTTTCTTGAGAGCATGAAGTAAATTTGGCTGCTTCATATATAGTCAGTATTTGATGAGATTTTACCACATGTGAGGCACCAGGAGGAAACCTGTCCCCTCTGGCCATGTGCACAAGACATTAGGCAGTGAGATTACAGTCTGCTCCCCAGAAAGCTGGCCCGGGCCACGAGCTCCTGCCCGAGAGCTACCTGACGAGGGCTTGTGGTTGTCCTGGGCAGCGCCACTTCTGCGTGTTTGCTGTGAGCTTCCCGGGCCAGGAGGCCCTCACGACCATCTACAACAGCATCCTGTCCCAGCACCTGGCCTTCTGCTCCGCCCCCACGGCGCTTCACAGGATGGGCAGCCAGCTGGTGGCCTTGGCCCTGGGTAAGCGGGCCAGCCTGGCCCCTCTCCTGATTTGCACCTCCTTCATAGTTTCCCCTGCTAGATATTTTATTTACATTTTCAAGTCAATACTTTTTAAACAATGCTGTGTTTCAACAGGAGATATGGTGAAATCCAGTTGTTTGAGGGGGAGGCCAAGGATAGGAAATGCAGTAAACAGAAAGGATTTACATGTCAAGAGCCCCAAGCTTCCTCCCTCTTCAGCTGTACAGACTTCTTAAATTGTCACCATTTCGTAGTCCGTTTGCTTTGGAAGCTGTCCCTAAAGCTGGACACTTCCTGAGGCCGTTACAAGTACGTAAGGATCGATGTGTCTTTTTCCGGTAACAGCCCTGCATCAGCGAGTCACAGCAACGTTTCTTCCCACGGCCATTAAGTTCCATTATGTCTTCAACCTCAGGGACCTCTCCAGTATTTTCCAGGTACTGCCCTTTGAGCTCCGTGTCATGCCACCTGATGTCCCCGTCCCTGATCCGTAGGCGGGGGCCCTCCTTCCCCCTCTGCTACTCTTGGGAGAAAAAGCAAAGCGACCTATGGGCTAATGGCAGTGACGATGGTGGTGGTGGTGATGGAGGTGATGGTGGTGAAAGTGATGTGGGTGGTGGTGACGAAGGTGGCTATGGTGATGGTGGTGATGTGGTGATGGTGGCGGTGGTGATGGGGATGTTGCCGGTGGTGATGATGGTGACGGTGGTGGTGATGGTGACGGTGTGATCGTGGTGGTGACTGTGGTGATTATGGTGGTGGTGGTAGTGATGGGGGGGTGGTAATGTTTCCTCCCATTTATTTAGTTTAGTCTGGGACAGGCACTGGGCTTGCCCACTCACACCTCTGTTTTCTCCTACATACAGCATGTAATATGCTTGTATAACCCCATTTTACAGAAGCATCTAAGGCTCAAGGTTAAGTCATGCCTGTCTCCTCCCAGTTCAAGTGTCCACTCAAATGTCATTCCCCAAGCAACTGATCCTCCCCCCCAACACTGTATTTCACTGTCCTGTTTATGTCACTCACAGCACCATGCTATTTTACTGGCCTGGTTACATCTCCCTACTAGAACACAGATTCCATAAAGACAGGGTCTGCCTCGTCACCGCTGTGTTCCCAGAGCCCAGAAGACCGCCTGGAAAATAGCAGACCCTCAATAAGCACCTGTTAAACTTGCCCAGGTCACATGGTTAGTACATGGCTGAGCCAGAAGTGGACCCAGGCCGGCTGCTGCAGAGCCCAAGCCTGTGACCCACTGTTCTGTGGGCTTCAGTGGTCTGGTTCCCCACCATGACCTGCCTCTCTTGTCCCTTTCTCCACTGCCCACCCCGTTAGAGGATGAAGCCCTTAACCCTGTCTTGTGGAAGAAATCCCCACATCCCTCAGGCCAAAGACACACCCTGCAGTCTCTAGGACTTTCACGGCCTTGACAACCAGTAGCTTCCCCAGCCCCAAGTGGACATTGTGCCAGCAGCCTGGCAGATCACTTCCTAGGGAAGTGACCATTTTCTGGTTTGTGTGTGGCACTTGGCTTACCTTCACGACACAGCGGAAGATGCTGACCATCTTGTTTCTGGGGAAGGGACTCTTATTCTCCACAGCAGAGATCCTGAAAGTGCCACTTGACCTCGTCCGCCTCTGGCTACATGAAGCCGAAAGAGTGTATGGAGACAAAATGGTTGACAAAAAAGATCAGGACATACTGCGCAGAGTCACCATTGCTTCCACCAAGAAATTCTTTGGTGTAAGTCAAGCTACCAAGTCCCTCCGCTGAACCCAGAAAGGCTCCAAGCAGGCAGTGTTTGGGGCTGCTGGTAACTCCGGCCCTTTAGGACAGGCCCTTGGGTGTGGGCGGGAAGGGACTGCATTGGGTCCCATGAAATGACTCTGTCATGTGGGTGTGGATCTGAGTGAGAAGGAATTGACCTCTCGGTAGATCCCTCTATCCACTTGGGTGTGTGCTCTGCTGCTGTGTTCAGGGTTTTCTTAGCAGAATCCCATTTTGTTTTGTTTTTTTGACAGTTTATTCCTGATATGATGGGGATCAAACCATCCTACCAGGGGATTTTGCCCAAGAGTTTGCAGGGCCCCTGGTAGCAGTGATTTTGGCCCCTGCAAACTTGGCCTGTGTCCTGGGGCCCCAATGGGAGGTGCCAGCTAAGGCTGCTGTTGACTGTGTGCCAGGGTGATAGACAACAACAGCAGTGTCTTGTCTCCTATTTCCAGGATCTTGGTGATGAGCTCTTATTCGCCAAACCAAATATGTTCTGCCACTTTACTCAAGGGATTGGTGACCCCAAATACCTTCCAGTAACAGACACGGCTCATCTGAACAAGCTCCTGGTGGACGTCCTGGACAGTTACAATGAAGTCAATGCAGTCATGAACCTGGTGAGCGATGCTCAAGCTGACGGCACGGGCAAAGGGCACAGGCATGCATTTCCTCCCCTCTCTCGCTGTGAGCACCTGCACGGCACTAGGGCTACATGACTCGCAGAAAACACTGTGGGGGCCTGATGAGATCCTGTGCTGGGAAGGAGCCGAGGCCACACACCCTAAGATGCTAAGGCGTCCCTCTGGTCTCCCCAGGTGCTGTTTGAGGACGCGGTGGCTCACATCTGCAGGATCAATCGCATCCTGGAGTCCCCCCGGGGGAACGCCCTGCTGGTGGGAGTGGGTGGCAGTGGCAAGCAGAGCCTCTCACGCCTGGCCGCGTACATCAGCGCGCTGGACGTGTTTCAGATCACCCTCAAGAAGGGCTACGGGATCCCAGACCTCAAGGTGAGACATCGCCTTTCAATATGCCACCATTAGGGAGGGGAAGCAGAGAAAGCTCTCACCCCTCCCATTTCCAAAATGATGCCTTCAGCATGGTGGGACACCCCCAATGGGGTCTTTAGCTTAGAAAGCAAAGGACCAGAGGTGTTTCTGATGCCTGCACCCATGTGATGAAGGTGAACGGGAGTGAGGGTCTCAGTGATCTAGGAGCTTGGAGTCCGCAAAGCCAACGCTGACAGTAGCCGCGATGAGACGGGTTCTCGCCCTCACTGAACCGCTCTGTAAATAATTCAGAACCGTTATCAGGGGTCTAATGACAGACTCGGGATTCTGGACAACTGCTTTTTGAGTTAATTAAATAAACATTAGCATACATAGGTTTCCCATCCCCTAGATAGGCCCTGAGGCTTTTCATTGATTTATTTTTCCCAAAAATTCACTCTCTCGGGGAACTGTGTGCTAGTCCAGAACAAATCATCCCAGTACCTCATATTCAAAACAAAATTGACTTGACCGTGTCACCCAGGCACGGCTCTCTCTGCACTGGTACCGGGGCCGCTCCTGCAGGCCAGGACGATGCCAGGCCTGGGGCCCCAAGGCAGCCGCTGGCCCGGCGGCTCTGACAGGGTGCTCGGGGTCCTCTCAGAGCTCAGCTCCGGGACTCTCTGGGGGTGAGGAGCTGGTCTGCTGGCCCAGGTCACGGGAAGGACAGTGGGGACAATGAGCTGATTCTCATCCCTGCTCTCCTGGCACTGCCAAGCGGGCTGTGCCAGGGAGAGTGACCTCTGGAGAAGCATCTGGCTCTGGCCATCATTGTCTCCAGTGGATTCTACCCCTTCCCTTAAGGTAACAACAGTCAACCGTATTTTTTAAGGGAAAAGTCTTCCTAACACGGGTTCCCCCAAATCCCAGCTCCTGACCTGAGTCTGTACTGGGCCTTCTGCTCTCAGCCTCGCTGAGTAGGTTCGCAGACTTCTCCATGTGCACGCAAGGTGGCTCGCCTCCTCACGTCTGCAGCTGTATAGTCGAACTGAATTTTTCCTGTTGAAAAGTTTCTAGTCTTTTAACCAACTTGCATTTACTGCCATGGTTGCATCGTAGTCTTTGTTGTGTCCTCGTGAGGATGTGCTCCTGAGCCCTTGCTTTAGGGCCAGCCGTGGGGGTCCGGTCCTGGCAGCACTACCATGCTCACAGGCCCAGGGTGCAGCGGCCCTAGGGCTGCTCTCTCGAAATTCATTGCTCCTCTGCCCACAGCAACCGGCTTTGCGCCAGACGCTCATTATCATTTATTCAGCAGCTCCTGTGGATTCAGAAGTAAGGACAGAGATAAGCTGGGCTTAAGGGCTCTGCATCTGTAAGGGGAGCCAGGCTCGTGAACAGTAACAAGATGTAATTGCTCCAGTAACAGTTCCACAGTAAGATGTGAACGTGATGTATGTTATTAGTGGAACATCATATACGTCCACAAGGATAAGATATTGTTAACAAGTGCAGAGTTGACAATGGCGTCTGCAGCTGAGCAGCGACTAGCACCTTGACACCCTCAGCCAGGCAGGGTGCAGTGGGACACGTGGGGGTGGGAAGTGCAGGAGATGGAGATTCTGGGCCCGGCCCCGGGCGCCTGAGGAGGTGGGTGCAGTTGACCGCGCAGGAGAGAATAGAGAGGGCTGCGGCAGGACGGCGTCCCTGGGGGGAGCGCACAGAGTGGGGACGCAGAGGGCGAGCTTCAAGGTGGTGGGGCTGGCCCCTAGGTTAGGGCCAGGAACCCAGAGGTTCCGGGCAGGGCAGCGAGGCGGCTGACGGACGGTCCTGTGCTCTCGGTGGGAGCAGGCGCTCCTGGGGGCGCAGGAGAGAGCCAGACAGCAAACACGACTTCCCTGGGGGGAGCGGCAGTCGGTGCAGGGAGGCGGCCTTCACAAGCAGAGCACCCACCTCTGTCCCCCGGCTTCTACAGGCCACCAGCCCTTCTACAATGTGCCACTCTGACCAGATGGCTGCAGCAATTAGCTTCGCTTTCTCCAAGCAGTGCTCCTTGCCTTAGCCAGTCTAACCAGATTCGAAATCTGAACCGGGTGCAGCTGCGTGGCTTCTCCATCCGGTCATTCCCACCTGCTGCAGCGAAACACCCCCAGCAGTTACCCCGACTGTGCAGCTGAGGTCTGGACCTGCCGGAAGCTGCTTCCCATCTCCATCCCCCGTTCTCCTTCCCGCTCTGGGGTGACCACTGGGCCCATGCATACAACCAAGCCTCCGAATTTATGGACACATACCACTAATTCCGGCATGGCTCACCCCCACCAGCGGGCTCGCCGGGAGCCGAGCTGCTCCCCCAACGCCAGCGCACTGCCGACCCTCAAAGAGGGTGCTCGCCGTTGCTCAGGGCCCACCTGCGGCCTCTGTTCCCCTGAGCTCTGGGCCTCCCCCTTGCTTTTGTTTAGTTTTGTTTTTGTTTTTAGCTCATCAAAAAATATGGAATTTGAGGCTTGCTTTTGACCCCAGTTACACCCCAGCCAACTCCAGCTGAGAGACCCTGGGGATGTTTCTCTCTGAATAGAGAGACATTAGGGAGGTGGGCTGCCTCCAAAGGACAGGACGAGCTGCCCAGATGCCCGCAGCGGGCATTTTAAAGCATTTAGGCAATTGCAGAGGCCTATGGGTCTCAGAGACACATCAGACGTTATAGATAAGGAAACCGCCCAAACCCTGAAAATTCATATTGGAACGTAATACTTGGATGACACTGACATGTATTTTTAATGCATGTTTACAATGTACACATGTCAACTGGCATGTTTTTCAAATACATGAACATTCACAGCACCCTGTAACATGCTTTTTAAAAATTCACCATTTTTTCTTCCAGAATCACCAGGCAATTATGTTGTGCAGGGGCGTCTTTAGTCCCGTTAGTAACGTGTAGGAGTCATGCTCAGGAATCACTCTGAGGGGGCATCCTTCTTCCCAGTTGTATCCAAGGCCCCTTCCAGGGTCTCCATTTAAGGTTCCTATTTTCTTTTTCCTTTTTTTTTTTTTCAGTAAAACATATATAACACAAAATGTTCCATTCTCCACACAGCTCCGTGACGTTAGGTGCATTTACTGTTGTGCAACCATCCCCACTATCTGCCTCCTGAGCTCTTTCGTCATCCCAGACAGAAGCTCTGTCCCCATGAAATGCTGACCCCCCAGCCCCTCGCCCAGCCCCTGGCACTCACTGTCCTTCTGTCTGTCTCTGTGAATCTGACTCCTCTGGGTACTTCACCTGAGTGGATTCCCACAGTAATTGTGGTTCTGAGGCTGGCTTATTGCATCAACATGATGCCCTCAAGGCTCATGTGTGTTGTACCAGGTGTGAGACCATCCTTGCCATTGAAGGCAGAATGCCAATCCGTGGTGCGGACGGACCCTGCCTGCCATCCGTTCACGGCTGAGGGGCCCTCGGGCTGACCCCCCTCCTGTGCTGCCATGAATAATGCTGCTACCCCCACGCTGTTCTCCGCTTAAGGTTTTGAACCTCCTCTGGCAGACCCTGCACATTTCTTAGCAAGTTGACCTCCAGTGTCTCTTCCTGGGTGGTTTTGGAGGATGCTTCTAAATGCATCTCCTTGCCCAGGACTCTAAGCATGTCCTCCTTGGGTGCAGCTGGACCTGGGCGCTCAGTACATAAAGTCGGCGCTGAAGAATGTGCCCTCGGTATTCCTGATGACAGACTCGCAGGTGGCCGAGGAGCAGTTCCTGGTCCTGATCAATGACCTGTTGGCCTCAGGGGAGATCCCAGGGCTGTTTGCGGACGACGAGGTGGAGAACATCATGGCTTCCCTGCGGCCACAGGTGAAGTCCCTCGGCATGCCCGACACACGGGAGGCGTGCTGGAAGTTCTTCATTGACAAAGTGCGCAGGCAGCTCAAGGTGAGCACCTGAGCGTTTGCGGGTCCCGGGCCAGCACGGGCCTTGGTGCCCCCCAGGGCTCCGGTCTCTACTCTGTGTGGACTTGGAGGCTGTTCCCCAGGACACCGAAGCCCATTAGGAGAGCACCCTGGGCCGAGGGCATCTTGTGGCCAGAAGTGTTTTACATGCAACATCCCCCTCAACACAGCAGGTTTAAAGAGATGAGCATAGCTTACCTTCCAGTCCCTCTTGGGGAGAGTAGGCTGAGCGACCCTCTTAGACCGAGAGCACATTGGCGCCTTTCCTCAGCAGCATCCAGTAAGGGCAGCTGTCCCCTGGCCCGGTGGCACTGCCCATCAAGAGGCCCAGCCCATAGCTCGGCTGGGCACCTGCTGGCCATCATCTCTCCCCTGCTTGATGCAAATATAACAGACTTCCTCCTCATCGCCCCCGTCTGGGTTGCAGAATCCAATCAGCAAGTGTCATGTGGGGGCCAAGGGCGTGCCCTGATGGAGGCTCTTCCGTGGGATGCCCACGTGCAGCGAGCCGCCAGAGGGAAGGGTCTCTACGACGAGGAGGGAGCCGGGAGGCTGAGGCGTCCGTGAGGAGGGAGTCCCTGCCCAGCAAGAGGGGCACCAGGGCCTGCCTCCACAGCACCTCCTGCAGTTTGGGTCCCAGGGGGCCCTGGCCTGTCTGGGGACGGGCCGCTGTCCTGGGGGCCTGGAGGAGGCTCTGCATCCCCAGGGCTCTGCAGGCCTCTCTGTTCTTGGGTCTCATCAGCCCAACAAGGTTGCCTGTTCCCCATCCAGCCTTCATCCAGCCCTTCTCCCCCCACTTTGTGGGGACCATGTCAAGAAGGCTTGGGCTTGCCCCCTGCTCTGCCACCCCTAATAAGATGTGACGTCAGCTGAGCATTCATCGGTGTAATGCAATGGCCACACCACAAACCCAGAGCCAGGAATGCACTCCCGAGACATCTGCAGACGGGCTGTGCAGATGGCTTTTCCTTCTGAAGGAGTTTTCTGCCACAGCGAGATTTAGCCTCAGCACGACAACTGTCCCCCATGAGCGGCTCTTCTGTGTCCCTCATCTAGGTGATTCTGTGCTTCTCCCCCGTGGGCTCTATCCTGCGCGTGTGGGCAAGGAAATTCCCTGCCGTGGTCAACTGCACAGCCATCGACTGGTTCCATGAGTGGCCGGAAGACGCCCTGGTGTCCGTCAGCGCGCGCTTCCTCCAGGAAACCGAGGGGATTCAGGTGAGTCTCGGGGCACAGCTTCCTCAGCACCCACAGAGTGGAGGACCAGCTGCCCGGGAGATGCTTCCCAGACCATCTGCCTGCAGGGCAGGATTAGGGTGACGCAGGTGAGGCACTGGCCTTTGCTGCAAAATTTAAGGGGAATAGGAGTGTGTAAAATCAGTAACCAGGATTAGCGATGTATTTACTCCAGTATTTTAAAAACAAAACGAACACTAAAACATTAACAGTGAACAAAATATCAACTGTCAACAAAGGCAGGCTGCTGTCTGCGGGGCTCCGCCCTGTGTCACTGTGCCGGGGGTACCGGTTTGTCCGTCAGCTCAGGTTCCTGGCCCATGTGGCCGCTGCCTTGAAGGGCCGGTTCCGAAGCATGGATGCTGGTGAGCAAACGGGCGCCGTGGGCTTAAATGAAGTCCCCGATAGGCCGACCGAAGTCTTTGTATTTGCTTTGGTAGGTGCATACAGGGGCGCACGCTTTTTCCCCTCACGGGGGCTCTGCCCAGAGCTGCTCCCTCACCTCTGACCTGCCCTCTTTATAGAGCACAGCAAGTATGACACGTGATGTATCGCCTCTGCTTTCAGTGTCTTCTTTTTATTGAAAGGAGGCGTCTGTGTCCACTGTTTGAGCTAACGGCCAGCCCTGAAATGACTGACCCTGACCAGGCCAACACAAGTGTTGAGCGGCTCTAGAATGAATTGTTCTGTCACCACGGTTTATTTACTTTGAGCACATATTCAGCTATGAGGCAGGATAAAATAACCTGAAATTAACTTTTCCCCCCGTTTTGAAGATAACGCCCTCCCCTTGTCATTGTTAGAATGCTGCTGTTACAGTGTTTTGCCTGGGGACGGGGAGGGCACAGATGTGGGTTTCCAGCCCCCAAGACAGAGGCCCCCTGAGACTGGGGAATGGCCCCACTGCTGGCACCAGCCAGGGCCACAGGCAGATGCCAAGGGAGCATGTGTTGGATGAACACATTTCCAGGTCAATCTGAATCAAAATGAATATTGCTTGGATGATTCCTGGGGTGGAGCACCCCGGGTCTAGCTGGGATAGGTGGGGCAGGCCACGGTCGGGGCCCGGACCCCCGCCTGGGAAAGGAGTCACTAATCTCCAGGGCCCAGCCTGGGAAATGCACAAGAAATGCTCAGTCACCTGGGCTGTGCAGACCTGTTGTCAGGCCCTGCACCTTCCCAGGTGTGCAAACGTGTACGTATGTGTGAGTCAGACATAGTAACAGTAATTGGTTCCGCTGTGGCCCTGCCTGGTGCTAACCCCACACAGTGCAGTGTCACCAGGTCCGTGACAGCCTCTGGGGATGCTGCTGCCCCAAGCCTCATCTGACAGTTGGACTGCTGACGTTGAGCTAGAGGGTGCCTCTCAGCCAGGGTCCCCGATGAGGACAGGAAGGTCCACCTTGCTGATTCAGTGTGGCCCACAGCCTCCTCTCCCCCTGGGCACCCCCAGGGGGAGGCCAGGGCCCTGCAGGAATGGGGTTGTGCCCACGGGGAACAGGGAACGAGGAGATCCATCTTGACTGTGTAGCCAGAAGTCAAGGCCTCCATCAGCCTCTTCATGTCATACGTGCACACAACGGTCAACGAGATGTCCCGGGTGTACCTGGCCACCGAGAGGCGCTACAACTATACCACCCCCAAAACCTTTCTGGAGCAGATCAAACTTTACCAGAACCTGCTGACCAAGAAGAGAACGGAGCTGGTCGCCAAAATTGAGAGGCTGGAAAATGGCCTGATGAAACTGAGGAACACAGCTTCTCAGGTAGGAAAGACGAGCGGTTCTGGAACCTTGTCCCACGTGTGTGAGACTAAGTATGGTGAACACATTCCCTGCCTGGGAGAGATGTCCACTCTGAAACCAGACAGAGGGCACGGGCTTAATCCACAAAACAGGTTCGGACCCCCTGGGAACGCTGTCACTGTGGTGGGAGGGCTCTGTGGCCGATGCAGAACCCGAGGCCACGCCCGCCCAACGCCCTGCCCTGTGGGGTCCGGAGGAGGGATGTCCGCCGCCATTCTTTGCTTCACATGGGGCTGCTCTCTAGGTTTCCGGCTTGGCTTTTGATGTTCCACATGGAGTCTTGGCTCCGTCCTTGCTGCCTGCAGACGGCATCTTGAAGGGAGCCTAGTGAGCAGCCGAAGCTTCTCTTCAGCCTCCGACCCGCCTGCGAAGGCACTGGTCCCCCGGCCCAGCACGCCTGCCCCAAGGGGGCCTGGGCCTGGACCCCGGCTCTAGGGAGGCCGGCTGAGCCCCAGCCCCACGGCCCGCCCCAGCCACAGGAGGCATTGCACAGTGAGGGCCACCCTCTGAGGGTGTGTGGGGGGAGCACCGCAGCAGGGGTGCCCACGGAAGACAGAACTGGGAGGATCCGAGGTTCTGCCGCCGCCCAGACGGGCCACTCAGACAGTGGCAAGCAGCAGCCCAGCCCGGCAGGCCGTTTTCTTTCTCCCAAGTGAACCTTCCAGACACGGTCCTAGGGCAGTGAATGCACCCCTGGTGGGGGCAGTTACAGCAGCTGAGGCGCCTCCTTGTGGTGGAAATCACCAGAAATGGGCGGAAATTCCTGGCTCCCCACCCCAGCCTCACTGCTCCCCGCACACCTTCTGAGAGTCCTCCACCCATCCCGGGTCCAAGCCCCCTCCTGCCACCCCGCCGGCACAGGAGGTCAGCACGCTGGCCAGGCCACGCTCACCCATCCCTGGTGTCTCTCCCCTAGGTGGACGATTTAAAAGCCAAGTTGGCAATTCAAGAGACTGAACTCAAGCAGAAAAATGAGAATGCGGACAAGCTGATACAGGTGGTGGGCGTGGAAACAGAGAAAGTCAGCAAAGAGAAAGCCATCGCTGATGAGGAAGAGGTCAAGGTGGAGGTCATCAACAAGGTACAAAACAAGCACGGCTTCGGGAGAGCTGTGCACGCGGCCCCTGAGCATCCAGCGTCTCCCACAGCCCCGGAAGGCCGAGAGGGCTCCCAAGCAGGGCCCCTGGAGGGGAGGCATCTCCCAGTGCAGGGTCCCCAGCTCAGAGGAGGGCTGTCCTTTTGAGAAGTGCCCATCCTGGACCCACACTCCCAAAGTGACGTCCCCAGGCCACAGTGGGACACCATGAGAGCCAGTAAAAATGCAGGTACTCAGGCCCCAGCCCAGCCCTGCAGAATCAGTTCTACATTTTAACAAGATGCTGGTATTTCATGAACATGGCAAGGTCCCATGAGCGTGGTGAGGTCCCGTGAGCGCGGTGGGGGTCCGTGAGCGCGGTGGGGTCCCGTGAACGTGGTGGGGGTCCGTGAGCGCGGTGGGGTCCCGTGAACGTGGTGAGGTCCCGTGAGCGCGGTGGGGTCCCGTGAGCGCGGTGGGGTCCCGTGAGCGCGGTGAGGTCCCGTGAGCGCGGTGGGGTCCCGTGAACTTGGTGAGGTCCCATGAGCGCGGTGGGGTCCCGTGAGCACGGTAAGGGTTGATTAGGAGTGCAGCCATCAAGAGTGTCCCTGTCTTGTCTGCTGCCTCTTGCGATGGAGGACAGCATGGTAGCAGACTGTTCCTGCCTTGGACAGCCTCCTCCCCCAGTGACAGGACGAGGGACCCGGGTATACACATGCCGTGCCAGTGGGTCAGGTGGGCAGCCAGGAGCTCTCCACCCCTCAGGATGACCTGCACAACTACAGTCCCTGGAGGCAGATGAGGACACAGGCTGGGGCATCAGCAACATGCCTGGGGCTCAAAACTAGCAAGGGGCCCAGTCAGGATCCAAGCCAGGACCTGCACCCCAACCCTGGCCTCTGTGACCAGCTGTCCGATGCCCACAGGCAGCTCTTACATCTGCGCACCTGCCCCTCTCCAACCCCTGCACCCAGAAACAGCCCGCTCAGGGGCTGCCCCAACACCCAGCCGGATCAACGCCTTCCACTGCCTGCTCCCTCCGTCATGTCCCACACTGTCCCTGAAGTAGGGTTGGCTTGGGATTCTTTGTGAGGTTCTTTCAGAAAGGCCCTGTCCTTTCTGTCCTTCCTCCCTGCCCAGCAAAGGCCCAGCCCCTACTAGCTTCTCCCCCCTTCTAGTGTCATGCACATGCTGTTCCTTAGTGATAGGTTCCAAGCGTCTGCTCATCTCTGCTGCACAGGCCCAGGGCTCACCCTGACCCAGAGAGAGACCGGGTGCCTGTGCGATGAGGGTGTTGTCAGGGGAGGTTGAGCTATACCAGTGCAGTGCTCCATTCTGAAGGCACTGCACAGTGACACCAGAGCCAGTCAGGCCACAGAGCCAGGGTGTAGTCTGTGTGGCCCCGCGGTGTCTCTCTAGTCCTGGAAGCCGGGCCAACAGAAGGAAGAGCCCCCGTTCCAAAATCCCAAGCCTGCCAACCCCGCCTGAGTGTTGAGCGCAGGGACGAGAAAGAGGGAGGTGTGGCCTCTTTGCGGAGCTCAGACCCCCTGGGCACCCCTCCGCAGCCCTGCGTGCTCCCTCGCCCCTGCCCAGTGCTGCCCCTACACACGCACCACCCAGACGCCCACCTGCATTGACCTTTCCTGTCGGGCTTCTTCCAGAACGTCACTGAGAAGCAAAAGGCTTGTGAAACGGACCTGGCCAAGGCAGAGCCGGCCCTGCTGGCTGCACAGGAAGCTCTGGACACACTGAATAAGGTAAGGAAGATAAGGAAAGCGCCTGGTCGCCTGGGTCAGGGGGAAACGTGGGGCAGTCCATTCAAGGGGCAGTGCTGGCGGTGGCTTCCCTGGAGGACTGCAGCCCCTTTCAGGCCCTCCCACCTGTCGTTTGCAGAACAACCTGACAGAGCTAAAGTCCTTTGGGTCCCCTCCAGACGCCGTGGTCAACGTCACAGCCGCAGTCATGATCCTGACTGCGCCCAGGGGCAAGATCCCCAAGGACAAGAGCTGGAAAGCTGCAAAAATCATGATGGGCAAAGTAGACGCCTTCCTGGACTCCTTGAAAAAGTTTGACAAGGAGCACATCCCAGAGGCCTGCCTGAAGGCGTTTAAGTGAGTCTGTTTAGCCATGCGGGGGTGCGTTCCACCACAGCTAGGTGGTCCCAGAATCCTCTCCCACCCAGCCCTGGCCTAGGGATCTGCACTCCCAAAGGAAGCCTGGGACTGCCGGAGGTGGGCAGGGTCTTGGGCCACATGGGGCAAGGTGGACCCCCAAAGACAGTGGTGGTGGCCTGGGCAAATCTGGCTGCTCCTGAGGCCGGGGTCGAGGCCAAGCATGGCCCTGGCTCCTGGGGCCCCTCACCACCCTCTCCCCCACCTGAAGGATTCCAGTGCAGGTGGAGAAGTGTGTGGTTCAATATCTAGGCAGTCCCTACCCCACACAGCACCCAGGAGGGGCCTTGCCATACAACACACAGCCCCTCAAGGACACCAGGTGGCCAGCGCAGCTGCAGACCCACAGGATGGTGGACAGGCCAGCCATGGCCACCAGGGGCAGGAGCAGCTGAGCACACACTCATGCATACGTGCATGCATGCACTGTGTGTATGTATGGGCACACATATACACATGTGTGCACACAGTGAGCGTTCACTGGCTTGAGCTCTGTCCTTCATCTTATCTTCTTTTCACTGGGCTCGTGTAAATGCACCATGTCCACAGAGGCACCCACCAGGGTTGGCTGTGTCAGCTCTGAGAGTACCCCCGAAGCCCCAGTGTGCTCGTGTTGGTGAGAGACCCACAAGTGAGGGCCCCAGAGCTGCCATTTTCCATCTCATGTGGCTGCTTGCCTGGCCATACCCCACAATCCAATTTCAGAACAAGAATCATACCCATGACCTCAGTGACCCCAAGTGAGACCCCAACATCTCCTAGTTCCTACCTATTGAGGAAGAGGGATGGACAGTTGGAAAATAGTTGATACATAAGACTAGTTTAAAGTATCAGAGAAACGGTCAGGAAGACGCAGGCAGGCCTACCACCCAGGGTGCCACCGACGTGAGACCCACGTCCTTTCAGTCTTTTTTCTAAAGTTTTTTCCCCATAGTTGAAATAACACTGTAGATACACCAGTTTGTCCTGCTTTTATTTTTTTACCTAACACTGTGACAAAATTAAAAAAACAAACAAAAAAAGCCCCACCTTTTTCCTATGTTATTAAAACACTCCATCAGCTTGCTTTTTAACTGTTGTATGATCTTGGCTGCAGATGACTCATAACCAATTTAGCCACCCAGGCACTGTTGATGATTCAGGCCACCCCCACTTTTGCCTTGTCTCCCAGCAAACTTCTAGACTGCCGGGACCCCACACTGTCTGATCTGGGCTTAAAGGATGCGAATCCATCTTAATACCGGCCTGAACAACACATAAAAGAAACCAGAGGGAAGAGACGATGTCTGTATTCCCAGCCTAAGTCCAAATGGCTTTTCAATTATTGTGAACCATCTATTCAAAGTTCTTTGTGCAGGTCTGTCAGTGAGTTTCTAGGGGGTCTGGCTCACATCCGTGGGCCCTCATCACGGTGGTAGGCCAGTACCTGCAAACCCCTTCTATGAAGTCTCACCCTTAGAGGCTTGGCCGCACTGGGTGGTGGTTCTGGAAAGCGAGGCTCTGCACCCTGGGCAAGTGGGAGGGGCACCGTGTGCATGGAGCCCGGGCCAACTGCTCCCTGAGGGTGAATCTCAGCACCGCCCCTTCCAAGCTGGGTCGCCTTGGGCGAGACCCTCAGCCTCTCGGGCCTGCTGGCCCAGGGGAAGACGGGCCATGGCACCAGCCAAGGAGGGAGCAGGCGCCAGGGGCTCACATTTGGGAAGCTCTCGGCTCAGCGCCCGACATGGGAACTTGGGGAGAAGCCCTGGCCCTGCTGCCTCCCCAGGCTTCCCTCTGGGCTGTAGCAGCCTCTCCAAACCCCAGCTGCATCGAGCACCAGGAACAGAGAGGGCAAAAAAGCGCTGGCTTCCCTCCTGATGTGGAATATAGGCCTTAAATCTCTCCTCCCATTCCCTTCACGCCCAGATCCTCCTTCAGAGGCCAGAGCCCTGTTCACCTTGTTCTTCTTGTTTCTGTGATCACTAAGATGCCCCCCAGGTCATCACTGTGCTCCCCTGCCAGCGCTGGAATCGGGGGCCGCAGCAGAGACCGCTGCGGACCTGGAGACTGGCAGATGCTGCCGCGTAGCCCCAAGGCCCACCGAGCCCACGCCGGCACCTGTTCCCTCTCCAGGCCCTACCAAGGCAACCCGACATTTGACCCTGACTTCATTCGCTCCAAGTCCACGGCTGCCGCAGGCTTGTGCTCCTGGTGCATCAACATTGTCCGTTTCTACGAGGTCTACTGTGACGTGGCCCCCAAGAGGCAGGCCTTGGAGGAGGCGAACGCTGAGCTGGCAGAGGCGCAGGAGAAGCTCTCCCAGATCAAAACCAGGATCGCCGTGAGTGCTCACCCACACCCACACACTCCCAGGTAAAATGCCGGAGCCTCGTGCTTGCTGCTGGTCGGCACCTCTGTCTAAAGGGTGCTGGTGTGGCCTGCTGGTGTGGACTCCTAAGCAGCGTGGGATGTAGGGGGCGGGTCACACCGCGAGGCCCTCGCCTCTATGGGAGGCCCTGTCCGGTGGCCACCCCTCGGTGCACACAGCCACTCCTGCCCTCTGGGAGCTGGCAGGCCTGGCATCGCTCCATTCGAGGGCCTTTCCATCCTCCTCTTCCAGGAACTCAATGCCAACCTGAGCAACCTGACATCGGCATTTGAAACAGCGACAGCTGAGAAAATCAAGTGCCAACAAGAGGCCGATGCCACCAACAGGGTGATCTCTCTGGCTAACAGGTAGCTCTCTCCCCACAGGCACCCGCCTGTCTCTTAGGTCCCCTCAAAGAGATGAGCCCGCAGAACGGCCTTTGGAGGAGGAAGCAGCCGGGTGGAGGCAGCGATGTCTCAGCTCACACTTAGTAAGGATGGTCACGATAAGACTGCCCGTCACTGACCAAGGTCTCCGCCTGGAGCCGGTAAGGTTCCCAGCAGGCGCACTGTCCCCCCAGGAAGGAAGACTGCCATCAGGAGACAGGGCGGTTTCAAACGGCAGGAGTTTATTAAGTAGACGTCAGCACACGGGCAGAGCGGCTGTCTGGGAACCAGAGCAGCGTTGCTGTGAGGGTTAGGGCGGCTCTTATTTTATCTAAAGATGGCCGAAGTCCAGCCCTGCATCTTACGTCATTTGATTGACAGGTTGATTGGCAGCTCTACATAATACTTTTTCTCTTTGCCCAGGAACTTTATCCATAAGTACTTAAGCAAGGCCCACAGCAGGGCCAAAACTACAATGCTAATTAGATGTAGATGTTATTTTAATGAGGTGGGGTTACTTTCAGACAAGGTCTTCAGATGGCGCACATGCCCTGTATTCAGGGAGGCCCCGCGGTCCTGGGCCTCTTGAGATCTGGGTGTCCCTGACTGTCCGCACCTCCTGATAAGGCAGACATCCTTGACTGTGGAGCTGGGGACTTAAGGAGGGCGCAGGGGTCGGCCTGGGAATCTTCCTGGTGATGGGCTGGCCCCTTTCTCCTGCCTACGTCTAACTGATGGTCATGCTCCCCGGTGGACCCTGGCGTGTGCCGTAGCTCTCAGGAAACTGACGTTTAGCAGTGCAGAACCCCCGGTGGCCCAGACCTGCCTGTCACACTGTCTCCAGAGGCCCATCTTGGCAGATCCCCGGTGTAACCCCCAGTGATGGGTGCAGGCTTCCCAGGCGGCCTCAGGGCCGGTCCATGTAACCGTTCACATGCTGTATGTGGACTCCAGCGCTGTCCGGTGGGAGGCTGACGTGAGCCACATCTGTCATTTTAGATTTCCCAGTTGCCACCTTAAAACAGTACAAAGAAACAGATTTTGACTTTGATAATATATTTTATTTAACCCCAAATCTGATCATCTCAGTATAGGATCACTGTAAGAATGATCAGTGAAACATTTCATGCATGTGTTCATTCTGAGTCCTTGAGAGCCCAGGTATACTCACACCTGGAGCACGTCTCAGCTCAGACCAAGCACGTCTCAGGCGCTCACAGCCCGTGTGGCTTGCGGCTGCCCTCCTGGACAGCAAGGCTTCTCAGCTCCCTCTGACTGCTTGGCACGGGGCCCCCGGAGCCTGGCTCCAAGCAGCAGATGGAGTCCGTTCTGGGGTGTGGCTTCTGGCACATTTTCTCCTCCCCAGGGGGCTGACAGCCACCAACTGGTCATCTGCAGCGTGATGTGGGGGCCTCAGGAGATCCCCAGGCTTCATGAGATGGGCCTCCAGTGGGGTGCGGGCATCACGCATGCTGTGGGTCGCAGGGGCTTGACCGCACCTGCCAAGAAAATCAAAGTGAAGAGTCAGGGCCCCCCAGGTGATGCTGAACACGGACCTCAGTGGGCCCAGAGGCAACCCGTACTCCCAACAAGATGTCAAAGTTCTCAGACTCATAGTTCACCACCTAGGGTCAGGGACCAGTCCTCGAGCCAGTGGCCTGAGAAGCACACCCATCGGAGGCCAGGTGCCCTCTGAATGCCACACTATCCTGTGGCCACAGTGGCTGCCACCTGGACTTCCCACTAGCCAAAGCGTGTGCTCAGCGGTACCAGGCAGCAACTTTAGCACATGAACAAATGGTCGAATGGCATCAGCGCAGATGGGAGGGAACCTCAGTGCGCCCGGTGCCCCAGGAAGCATAGTTCTGCTCCCTAAAGCATTTAATCCCAGAAATTTCACCAAAAGCATTTTCATCGTCAAACCCCTGAGCCAAGTAAGGATCTGAAACACCAGAGATTCGTAGATGTGGAAGGTGGCGGCGCGCCTCCCACAGTCCTAGCCCAGGCCTCGCACTTGCCCGGATGAATGCTTTGGCTTCCACCGAACTTCTGCCCGTACTGACCTGGAGCTCCCATCTTAGGCTGGTGGGAGGATTAGCGTCAGAAAACATCCGCTGGGCTGAATCGGTGCAGAACTTCAAAGGCCAGGCGGTCACTCTGTGTGGAGATGTCCTGCTGATTTCCGCCTTCGTCTCCTACGTGGGCTACTTTACCAAGAAGTACCGCAATGAGCTGATGGAGAAACTCTGGGTCCCATATATAAATAAATTAAAGGTAGGAGGTATGGTCATACTGGCCACTCAGGAAATGCAGGGAGGTCCCTGGCAGGGCAGACCCAGCCACGCCTCACTTTCGCTCCTGCTAGTGAGGCTCCAGCTCTTCCGGGTTTAGACCGTAGCCCCGCGTGGCCGATGCTGGCATCCTTTCTGGGCGGGTTCCAGGGTGGTGCAAATGCCCATCTTCTCCCAGGTGGCCCAGTTAGCACACTGTCTAACCACAGAGAGCCATTTTCCGTTGAGCAGTGAGGCGGACCATATCACCCCCGCTAAGGAAGAGCGCTTGCCCTCGGCAGGTTCCCATCCCCATCACAAAAGGTCTGGATCCCTTGAGCCTGCTGACCGACGATGCAGATGTGGCCACCTGGAACAACCAGGGCCTCCCCAGCGACCGCATGTCCACTGAGAATGCCACCATCCTATGCAACACGGAGCGCTGGCCCCTCATTGTGGACGCCCAGCTGCAGGGCATCAAGTGGATCAAAAACAAATACGGGGGTGCGCTGAAGGCCATCCGCCCGGGACAGAAGAGGTGCGTGCTTGAGGCAGAAGGTGGGGCAGGGTGACGGGGCTGGCTGGACGGCTGTGCTTGGAGATGCACCGTAGGCCCTTCACACTTGTTAAACAGATGGGTGGATATTTAAATACAACTGGAGCCCACAGATGGACGCTTTTAGTGGGCAGCCCTGGGAAGCAGCACCCAGAGCAGAGAATTAAACTCAGGCCCTCACCTGTTCTCCCGTCGCCTCCTGCCCCTGCAGGAGCGGAGCACTGACCTGGCCCCCCTGGGGCAAGTCCCTCCTGCCGCCTGTCAGCCAAGAGGCTTCAGGCTGGTCGTTCCCTCCTCTCTCCTCTGCCTTGTGGTCCATGTCCTCATCACAGATGAGAACCAGTGGCTGTACCAGGCTACCCGTGAGCCTTCCCCTCCGGTGGCGAGGCTCCAGCCCCACAGCCCGAGGGGTGACCTATGCAGAAGCCCTGTGCTCCCGCTGCCCCAGTGAGGCCTGCCTCTTGGGCCACATGGTGTGCTGTCACTGGCCCATGTTGTCAAACAGCCCCCATGCTGTGCCTACAGCTACCTGGACACCATTGAGCGGGCCATTTCAGAAGGGGACATCTTGCTCATCGAGAACATTGGCGAGACCGTGGACCCTGTGCTGGATCCCCTCCTGGGCAGGAACACAATTAAGAAGGGAAAGTGAGTTGCCTTTCCACCCCACAACTTAACCTGTGTGAAGCCCTCAGTGGCAAGGTGTGGCCTGTGCACAGCGGGACAGTGCAGGCTGTGTCCTTTGCTCTCCCGGTGGGCAGCAGGAGCTCCAAACAGAACGCTGGCAGGTGTGCAGGGACCCAGCCCCCCAAGGAGCCTCGTCACGGGGCCACGTACCCATTAGGGGCGTCTGCACATTTTAGAAGCGATAACCTGCAGAGGGCCGTCCTTAATGTCACACTTTTCTTCTTCCTGTTTTTATGCATTTTGCAAATCTCGAGCTTGTGTTATTTCTTTGTTATTCAGGTGACATGACATATTCATAACATATCATTCAGGTGACGTAACAATTCACGTAACAGAAAATGAGCCATCTGAAAGCACACACAGTCTGGCGGCATCTAGTGCCCTCACAATGCTGTGCAGCCACCGCCCCCCAGCTCCAAACGCTGTCACCACCCCCGCAAGGAAACCCCTGCTCCCATTCCCCCGGCTGCCAGCCCTGGCCACCGCCGTCCTGCTCTCCATCCCTGTGGGTCTGCATATCCTGGACATTTCACAGAAATGGAATCACACAAGGCGTGCTTCTTCTATGTCTGGCCTCTTGCCCTGCGCCTAATGCTTGCAGGGGCCGTCTGTGTTGGGGACGTCATGTGTCAGGACTTCATTCCTTCTTACGGCTGAATAAAAGTCCATAGTACGGCCATGCCACGTTTTGTTTATCCTATCACTGCTTGATGCACTGAACTTGTATTACTTTTCTAATATAAAAAAATCAACTTTAAAAATGTAAAATCAGAGTTAATATGAGCCACCTGTAAATGCAGAGGCCCAGAACAGAGGTGGCAAGTAAATATGCTGATGTCCTCGACTCCGGGAGGGGCCTGGCATGAGGGGTGATGGCCAAGGGGTGAAGTTAGAGCCCCCAAGTGAGCTCAACCAGAAAGAGGGGAGAACAGAGCTGGGGACCAGGGAGGAGAGACACCCCCTCGCCCCTACCCGGTGGGTCCACAGACCCAAGGTCCAGTCTTGTTGCTCATCAGACTCACCCGGGAGCTTCCAGGATGTACTGGTGTTCTGAACTGGGATGTCGGTGTCTGTCTGGTGTTTGGGGTGCAGCCCAGGCAGAGTGTTTCTGTACTGGCTCCCCAGGTGAGCATGACATGCAGCCAGGCTGAGTGAGCCAACCAGCCAGAGGAAGGGCAGGTTCATCTTCTGGGTGGGCGCGTCTCGGGCCGGAGAAGGGGACTAGAGCAAGGGAAGCCACGGACGTCCCCTCCCAGTAACCAGAGGAGGGCCCGAGGTGGCAGCTTGGCCTGGGGACGGGCCCCCGGGCCGACTGATAGGTAGTCTCTGTTGTGTTGCCACCACCTGCCACCGGAAGCCCCTCTAACCCCTTCCTGCACTGACCACCAGATTCATCAAGATCGGCGACAAGGAGGTGGAGTACCACGCTAAGTTCCGCCTGATCCTGCACACCAAGTACTTCAACCCACACTACAAGCCCGAGATGCAGGCCCAGTGCACCCTGATCAACTTCCTGGTCACCAGGGACGGGCTCGAGGACCAACTCCTGGCTGCTGTGGTGGCCAAAGAGCGCCCGGACCTGGAGCAGCTGAAGGTGCCGGTCACATGGTGCAGGGTGGGCCAGCTCCGGGACAGGAGGCGGGCAGGTGGCCATGGCCCAGGGGGCACCCGCCCCATGCATCTGAGCGCGCCTCAGCCTGTTGCATGGAGCTGTATTTTGTACAACAGAATGAGTCACCCTTCCTCCTGAAAGAACAGGAGTCCCAGCAGTGCCCTGACCTCCCTACAGCATCAAACTGCCACCCCACTGGAGTGGCCTTTGCTGCAGCTCCCTGTGCACCAGTCACAGCTACTGGCCAGCTGCAGAGAGGGTGTCCTGCTCTGTCTTAGCCACACATGCAGGCTTAGAAGGTTCTGAGCCCCATGCATCCCCCACACCTCATGACAGGCAGGCCCCTCATTGCCCTGGGCTCCCACTGTGTGGGCGTCCCTTCAGGCTGGCCATGTGCCCTTCTCCCAGTCAGGGGGCCTTGGCTCAGCTGCAGAAAGGCCCAGGCACCTGGGTTGTAGAGGCAAGGCTGTGCCAGCAACTGACCTCCCTTCACGGGCATCTGTCCGTCCTGCAGGCAAACCTCACCAAGTCTCAAAATGGATTTAAGATTGTTCTGAAAGAGCTGGAAGATTCTCTGCTAGCTCGTCTGTCGGCCGCTTCAGGGGACTTTCTGGGAGACACTGCCTTAGTGGAGAATCTGGAAACCACCAAGCACACAGCCAGTGAGATTAAGGAGAAGGTAAGGGGCTGCCTCCCGTGGCTGGGGCACACGAGTGTCCCTGGGGGCCCAGGGCAGCAAGAGGCGCATGGGTCCCTGCCCAGAGCCCCCGGGACAGCTGCAGAGGGAGCCCAGAGACATGGCACGGCGCACGTCCACCCAGGGTTGCTCAGTCTCCTTTCTTTTGCTTTGAGGTGCAAGAAGCAAGAATCACAGAAATCAAAATCAACGAGGCCAGAGAGAACTACCGGCCCGCTGCAGAGAGGGCAACCCTGCTCTACTTCGTCCTGAGCGACCTCGACAAGATCAACCCCATCTACCAGTTCTCGCTCAAGGTGCCCCCTGGGGGCAGGGGGTCCGGGCTGTGGACGGGGTGGGCAGTGGGAGCCAGCGGCTGGGGGCTGCGCAGTGCCAGTGCCGCGGGGAGGGGCTCTCCCCTGGTGCCCCAGGTCCCCACGGGAACAAACCAGTGCCCGCCTCGGGCAGCCCTGCAGCCCCCACGTGCTTGTGTCCCTCCCGCAGGCCTTCAACGTGGTGTTCGAGAAAGCCATCCAGAAGACCGCCCCGGCTGAGGAGGTCAGGCAGCGGGTGGTCAACCTGACCGACGAGATCACCTACTCCGTCTACACGTACACGGCCCGTGGGCTCTTCGAGCGGGACAAACTCATATTTCTGGCACAGGTCACCTTTCAGGTAACGTCTGGCCTCACTCCTCAGTGTGGTGCGCTGGTGGGTCCTTGCCGCAAATGCAGGTTCCTGGGCCCCTGCTCAGACCTGGGGATGCAGAACCTGCATTTTAACAAGATTCCCGGTGCCTGGTGAATCTGCATTACCGCGGCACGTGCCGAGCCTCTCCTAGTTGACAGCAGGAAGGAGTTGGCGTGGGAGCCCCCAAAAGGGCACTCGGCTGGAGGGTCACAGAGAAGCGCCGTGCCACCATGTCAGTGGCCAGCCCACGGCACATGCAGGATTAGATTTGGTGTGGAAATAAAGGTGCTAATGCATGAATAGTCCTCTTGTTTCTACAGATCAGCTGAAACACTTAAAGATTTTTGTTGCAATTCAGGTTTCCTTTATATGTGGCTCTGCATCCGGGGTTCACTATGAGTTTCTCACTCTGCTAAGAGGGTGTTGGGATGAAGTTCCTTGGTGCTCTGGTGCGCCCCCTAATGTTCCAGGGAAGGACGTGTTCTTTTCAGTCCCAAAGTACGTTCTGTTTG